TCATAATTAACCCTAATAATTGTGAGAAGGCTTAAATAATTTTTGTAAGTGGTTAAGTATGCTGAAAGTCACTTTTCTGACGAAAAGTGCAGATTCTGGTTATGCTCCTCGGTATATATGCGTACTGATGAAGTATCCCAGGAAATTATAATAAGTATGGAAATATTCCTAGAATAATATAAAGGATTGGTAAAACAAGTTTCAGGTCGAAATAATGAGAACTGGTGCCAGAACTGATACTAGCTATGTAAAAGTGTGTATCGAAAAAGGACTGCAAAAAAATAATATAAAAATATGACAAATCTTAGAAAAATGAGTAGATTCAGAATCCTAAGTTTGAGATTAAAATTCTAAGCGTAGCAATTAGTGCTAATACTGTGTGTTTTATTTTAATTGAAATAGGAAGTTACACACAACCCTAGGCTGATTTGATCAGCTCTACGTGTCTTGTGTGTGCCTCCATTTCTAAACCTTTGGTTTCTCCTCTTGCCACCACCATTTTCCTTCAAGAACAAGCCCAAGTGATCATCTTTCTCCACTCTTTCTTCATCTAAACACTAAAGCCTTGTGTGAGTGGGCATTGTGAGGGTGTGAGAGTACTTCATTTTCTGTGTTGGGCCTCTGTGAGTGTTGGTTAGGGGCTGAGTTCTTGAACTCCTTGGTGTGAGCCATTCTCTTGGCTTTTGATGGTGCAAGAAGCTACTTTGTGAAGCAAAGATCAAGTTTTGTTAGCCATTTTCGTGTACCCTTAAAGTCAGCACTGTGGAACTGACTTGTGAGCTCCAAGAGCATCATTCATCTCTGTTTTGGAGCTTGGGGTAAGTTGTTGAACCTTGATCATGAGTTTTAGTTGCTTAAAGGTTGGGTCTTGGCATGTTAATGGGTTAAATAAGTAACCAACCTGAACATAAACCTAAAAGTGAATAAAAATGCATGCTTGAACGTTTTAATGGATTAAAAACCAAACCTTGGGAGTGATATCTCGCGAAATGCAGAAACTGCATTCTGTCGCGAAATATCCGGATATGGCATCCGGATATTGATATCCGGATATGGGGTCTTGTGATATCCAGATATGATATCCGGATATGCATATCCAGATATGATATCCGGATATGGATATCCGTATGGATATCCGGATATGTCCCCGACAAATATCCAGATATTCTGGGAATTCCGAGACAGTAGCTGTACTGTTCATGCAGAATAGCATTTTGGGTTTGTGGACCCATGATGGGCTATTGGGGACTTCTGTAATAATTAACTAAGTCAGAATCTAAGTGATTGAGGGCTTATGGCTTTGTGAGAAGCCTAAAGACATGAAACGTAAGAGGAAAGCGTGTCTTTATGTTGTATGCTGGTAAAGTATGATTGTTGATATGATTGCTGGTCTAAAACAGATTGTGATTCTGCTGTTTGTGGACTTTGAGCTTGTGTGAACTCTTGGCTTGGATAGTTAGCTTGCAAGGTAAGCTTTCGTGTCCTCGGTTTAGCCATTGTTGGTTCCACCATACCCCATGGGGGAATGATTTATATGCATGATGTGTTTTCATGTATTGCTTTATTGAAATGCTTTTGAGTTGTTAAGTGCAAATGCCTTATGTGTATGTGATGTTTCGCCTAGACGGGATAATGATCATGTGAGCAGGTACGGCATGGGCGTGTACTATTGTGGGTTGTAGACGTACGTACATCCTGCATTCCTCTGCCCAGTAGAATAGTTAACTCACATGACATGATTATCTGCTGCATTGCACTGATTTGGAACTTATATTGTTAAACTGCTTTTGAACTTATATTGCACATGTAAGTGAGCTTGGGGTGGAGAAATTATTGAGAAGCCCTTGCCTTACTGAGATTTCTGTTTAGAGATCTCACCCCACGTTTGGGGCGCTTATTTCAGGTTCAGGTAACCCAGGGGTTGAGACCTCGGGCGGCAGGAGGCCGGAGCTTAGTTGATTGATGTTTATCTGCTTATGTTGATTATGCTTGGATGCTGGATTATGTCTGTTGCTATTATGCTATTAGCTTCATTTTGTGAATTTTTGAGCTGAGACTTGGTGGGCTTGTTGCCTTATTTGGCGAGCATGGGGGTTGTCCATGCCACATTGATTTGACTATGTTGATTTAGATTCGCGTTGTATAATGTATCAGGATTATGGTCCGGACTACGTGTTGTAGTTCCGCAATTTAGATACTCACATATTTATATTATGAGGTTATTCAGAGTAGATAGCTGTTTATTTGCAATTACATACAGGCAATGTTTGAAAAAAGAATTAAGTAATCATCTTGGTAATTGATAATGACGTCATAACTGAAAAGAAAAAGATATTTTGCATATTTAATTAAGCGTGGCTTAATACGATGACATGATAACAAACCGGGTATACACGGGGTGTTACAAAAATCGCGGTGACCGAACCGAAAAATAGATAACCGAATTAATCTAAAATTAAAAAATTGAAAATCGAAAAAAACCCACATATTTTAATTAGTTGGATCAATTTTCAATTTGGTTGGTAAAAATCAATCCAATCCAAACTGATCTAATATATTATGTATTTATCATTTTTAAAATCCTGCTAATGCCGTTTTCCCTAATTCAGTAACCCTTACTCAGTTACTCCCTTAACTTCGAACCGCAGAGTAGACTATTCTTAAATTAACACCATTTTTGATTTGGCACTAATAAACACTATTATTGATATTAGTCCCACCCGCGTTGCGCCTCCTCTGTCTGAAGAACCCACTTTCGTTCCAGAATCCAGAGGTTCCTTCCTCCGTGCGTTGCTGTCGTCCCTAAATTTGTTGTTACTTGAACCCTTTCTTAATCTCTTATTTTCTTGAAAATTGTTGTCTGGCTGGTTGTTTTGAAGACCACAAAGTGACAATTGAGCAAGCTAAAAGAGTAAATTATGGAAGAGAAAGATGATAACTTGAAATCTTGTTGTTTCATAGACTTGAAATCTTAGATGTCATTGATAACAAACTACCTTATTTTAGTTTTTTATTGCCTATTACTCTATTTTAACTCTTCATAAGTTTTAAGATTTGTTTTAGTTTAAAGACTTAAATTTTTTAGTAGTTTATAACTTTGTATGTCTAAATTTTAAGCTTTTCGAAAAATCGAAAATCGATCTAATACAAATTGAATTGGATTGGATCATATTTGAAAAAAAAATCCAAACCTAATGGATGATTAAATGAGCAAACCGAAGATATTAGATCAAATAATTTTTGCTTTAAAAACGATCAATATTACTTATACAGTGTTTAAGTAGTCATATTTAATAGTTAATTGTTTGTTATATTTTTTTTCTAATTTTATTAAAAGATAATATTATTTGAATTAATTTAAAAGATATAAAATATATAAAAAAGTAAACTTGGGTTGATATTAGATTTTTAAATATAATTGAATTAAATTTGTTTTATTGTCAATACCAAATATATTTTATATTTATTTAAATATCAAAATATGACAATTAAAAAATATAAGATAAGAAAAAGTGAATAAGGATTTAAAAATTGGATAAAATATAAATTTGAACATAATAAAATTAATTTTTTTCTTATCATTCTTAAATAGATTTTATATCTAAATATCAATATATAATAAATAAGTAAGATAAGAAAAATGAAAATAGGATTTGAAAGTTGGATACAAAATAAATTTAAACATGAAAAAATTCATTTTATTTTCTGATGAATTTCAAATATATTTTATGCTTACTTAAATATCAATATTATACTAATAAATAATTTTTTTATTTTATAATCAATCTAATTGATTTAAGTATTTTTATGTATATTATTATATTATATTATGATTTATATACTGTGATTACTATATTAAGAATATTTTTATTCAATTATATATGTATAAATATATATATATATATATATATATATATATATATATATTATTTTAAATTTTAAATACATGTAATTTAACCCCTTCCGCCATTGGCCACTTCTAAAGAACCATAATAGTAACATTTCGGGCCGTCAATAGAACATTAACTTCTATTCAAGGTACATTAATGTTTACGCTGCATATTATATCATCTGGCCAAACAGTTATGATGGAAGCTTAATTGCCACAACCACCACAGTCATATTTGGGTAAATCATCTACCTCTTGCTATAAATATTCTTCTTTCAAACCCTTCCATGCTTAATCGCCATGTCTTCTGTGAATAAATCTTTGTTACTACTGTATCAAAGATTCAGTGCATCCTACCAATAAAAATATTACATGTCAGTTAATTTTATTTTTTGTCAATTTTTTTTTCTCTCCTCTGATGTGTATTGCTCTCATTGATGAGATACACTGAATCTTGGTATAGCAATAGTACCAAAAATTTATTCGTCTTCCCTAAGTATTCTTGATAATGTCAATTTTGTGAGTGGTAAGTTTGAAACAATTTTTAAAATCTATTCATAAATACTTTAGGTTGATAGAGTTCTTCTTTAAATGCGTATTTAATAGGTCTTAATATCTAATTTTTAGCTTATTTTTTCTTTAAAAATAAAAATTTAATCAAATAGAATTTTATTAAAAATTTTATTATAAAAAAGTAAAAATTAAAAACTCCCAGGAAGAATTTTTTGTAAGATATAAACCAAATTTTGGAATCCTCATTTTATTTTTATTTTATTTATTCTTTACCCTAAAAATGTATTCTAATAATAAATGATTCCATATTTCTTTTTAACATAATAAAAATTTTAGTTCATGGTTGTCTGCGTCTGACCTATGACGTGAGTTGATTTCTAAAGTTAGTTCACCATATTTGTGTCTTCCGTTATTGTAAAAAGTTTTTTTTTTTTTTTAATACTGTTATGATATATATGTTTTAATTTTTATAAATTATTCTTCTTATCTTTGAAGAAAATAATCAATTGTTTTTATTTTTGAATTTTAGTTCTTTTATACTTATCTAATTATCGTAAAACCACTTACTACTCAGTACTCACTGTGGTGTATGGTGCTTTCTGATTTCAGCGTAACTAACCTCCATTCTCCCTCTTCCATTCTCCATTTTGGATCAGCGTCCCTTTCTCTTCAACATTTTGTGGCTCTCTTCTGCTAAAATGAAAAACAATTTATTATTATATTGTTAAATATATATTTAAATATTATAGGCTTCGTGTTGTATCTATTTAGCTTTGGCAAACTCGGAAACCCTAGTAGATCAGATCTCATCTTTCTTCCATGATCATGGCGCTAAGAAAATCTCGCGGCCGTGAAATGCTGTTCGACTCCGTCATCGCGCTCGTCTTCGTCCTCGTCGCTTGCGTTGACCTCTGCGACGGCGCCACCGTCGTCGACGTCTACCGCCTCATCCAGTACGACATGTCAGGTGTTCCATTCGGATCTCGACTTGCCAGCCTCAACCACCATGCCGCTTCTCTTCACTTCTCACCGCACGCCGATCTCTCTCGCACTGTCCTTCTCATACCTCTTCGCGAACTCAACATGTCCTTTGTCAAAGGTTCTTCTTCTTGTTTTTGCTTTTTTTTTTTTTTTTTTATCTGCTTGAATTTTTTTTTTTTGTTTCTTTTGGTTGATTGTGCTGAGGCTTAATTGTTGCGAATGATGTTTATGTGTAACGTAATTTGGAATTGTGCAAGTTACGAACGGTGTTTGCGAAACAGCAAAAGTGTTATTGCAGTGAGGATTTCTTAGCTTCCGATGGTATTAAATGATTCGTAAGTAACGGTGAATCTCAACTAATGAGCGCAGCTTTCAGTGCAGACAGATCTTTATGGTCAGTAAGATGGAGTTTCAGATTGTTGATTTTGATATTATGAGACGAACCCTGGGAGAGTCTCGCATGTAAGATAGGAGAGCTCAAAGTCTATATATAATCATATACCAGAATCTTATGTTTCCGATGTTGGACTCCAATTTCTGTACCTTATAACAGGATTGTGACATCCCACTACAATGAGCAGCCCTCACTAGTCGCGTCGCTCAATTGTAAGTGGGAGACATAATGGAAGCTCTAATACCCAAAAGCTAACTTGTAAGGTAGAAGAGTCCAAAGTCTATATAAACCCTACAATAGGACCTTATGTTTCCAATGTGAGGCTCTAAGTCTAGAGTCCCATACCTTACAACTTGATTGTGACATATTACTTTCTCAATTTGCCTATGGAAAAGATGGATTTGGATAATCCTTAGTTTAGGATAAAAAAGGAAATTACAGAATTACCTGTTCAAATCGTGTAATTCATTTAATATTATAAAGGAATCTTTTTATACACCTTTGAAAAGTATACAAAGGAGGAATATGAGGAATCCATCATGGGGCTTGTGATGAGAAAGTGCTAGTGAGATTCTGAGAAATAAATATATGTGAAATCGTTTTGAATATATACCCGTAAATACAACATAGTGACATAAATGTTGCAGGCATCAGGCTTGAAGCACGTCTCGTTCACCAGGCAAGAGAGGAAAAATATTCATGCATTTATAAATTAACAAGTTGGTTGCTCTGTTTGCCTCAACCCAACATCATCCCTTCAGTCAAACTCTGAAAATTGTCATTCACAGATTGTACTGTTTTCTACATTTTTCTTGTTGAAAGCTTAGCATTTATTGTCCCTGTCATTTTTTATTGATCGTTATTCGAAGAATGCTATTTTGTCTCACTTATAAATTAACAAGATTAAAATTTTGTGTGACTACAATATGGCAGAATATATTGCTGAAGGCAAGCCTCTGGGGGGTTTAATATTTTTGCTGCCCCAGATGTTCAGTTTTGAAAACAAAGGTGGTACGGGAAGTAATCAGCAAGATGGGAGTAATGAGCTGCTGAAGAATGTATTGGCTGAACTAGAACAAATACTTATACACACCAACTTACCTGTGAGTAAATTCAGACAGCTTCTCCTTTATACAGATTGTTGTCATTACTTTTTTCTTTTGGAAAATTTCATATAAAATAAAATGTTTTCCATGTGGAAGTGGAGTAGAATAACTTAACTGATTTGTTCATGAATTATGAATTCCTTTACATTATCATTGTGGTGAATATTTTTTTTGTAACTTTCTTCTATGTCACCGAGTTATAGTTATATTATACCTTCAAAGTAACTTATGCAGCGTATTGACTGACTAGGCTCAATTCTCCAAACACCTAACTGATTTCATAAATAAACTTGTTGCTTTCTATCAGCAATTTGTTTGCCTTAGGAAAATTGGCCTTGTAAGTGTCCCAACAATTTGGTGATAAATGAAGACTTTGGATAGCCGCTTTATGTGCATGTCAAACTTCTTTGGGTTACAAATGTCATGATGTACATGCAGTAGTGGTCTACAGGTCTTGCATATTTACTTGCTGTACATGATTTATTTATTGATAAAAATTGTGTTAGATGATTTATAAACCTTCTTTTGATGTGTTTCACTATGTGTATGCTTCTCCAATTGGTCTTATGTGCTTGTATGCATCTTCTTAGGTCCTCGATTGATTAGTTAGAGCAGAGAGATACTTGCAAAATTGGCCTGTTTTCCTCAATTTCTATTATCTATCCTAGTTTTTGTTCTCTATTATCATCTCTCTAGCTTATAGCATAGGCCATTAGTCATTCCCAAAGTATTTCTCATAACCAATGCGTGACATAAGTAATAAACTACTGAAATTGGCTTCTCGATTATTTAGAAGACCTATATCAGCATGCTGCTAATTGTGATGATGGTTTTGTCTGTGGGGTGGGCATGTGTGTGTGTGTGTATTGTGATGCTGCTAATTGTGATGATGGTTTTGTCTGTGGGGTGGGCATGTGTGTGTGTGTGTATTGGAAAGGAAAGGGACACTTCTATGCTAAGATGCAATATTCTTCCTCTAATTAATGTTTTTTCCATTTTATCAAAGGAAAATATGTTAATAATTAATACTTTTGTGCTTTTTAGTGTGTGTGATATGACATCCTTTTCATGTAATGTAAAGGAACATATTTCTTGCAATTATTTTTTGTTTTTGTCATTTTGATGGAAGTGTAACTTTTATTATGCTGCATCTTGTTGCAGTATCCTGTTTATTTTGCTTTTGAGAATGACAACATTGATGCCGTGTTAACTGATATCAAGAAGAGTGATGCCACTGGTCAGCCTGCTACTGCAACTACTGGCGGGTGAGCTCAATTTAGTGAATAAACCAAACCCTTCATTGTTTTAATTAAATTTTGCAAAATTCTCTAGATGGTCAAGACGAGAGATGTGGAATTTCATGAATTGATTGACTGGATATTACATACTAAATTACCTTATATATCTCCAACTTCTGGCTAGTTTATCTTGCGCAGTTGAATACCTTATGTTCTATTGGATTATGTTTCAGTTATCTACTGATTTCACAATTGCTGTTTTAATTTTATTATGTTTTTTGTTTTCTTTCTTGGATTTTCTTTCTGTAGTAAATTAATTCACATGTATCTTGTGCTATTATCAAGTTTACTTTTCTTTTGGAAGTGACATTTTTAATGATTTATATCTTTCTTTCTTTTGTGACACTGCAGATACAAATTTGTAGTTTCAGCCCCAGAACCAAAGAAAGTTTCATCTCCACCTATTACAAATATTCAGGTGTTTGTTCAACCTTTGTTTTAGAGAAATACTGTGGTTGATACTATGGGTGATGGGTGCGCAAGTTTTTTTAGACTAACAGTAGCTTTGAAATTTGAAGCTTTTAGACATCATTTTTAGCTATTTGAAATCAAACTAATATGTTTAATTTCTTGATCTGGTTTTATAAATGAATATATAAGTTGAGAGGCATGGTAGTTCATCAGGTTTTGCTTATTGCTAAGTTGTGTATAATCGACCTAATGGTGTTGTATGAATATGCCATGCATTTCTTTCGTTTTTCTATTTTTCTGTTGTGTTTTGGTGTTTAAATTCTCTAAATACTGATGCCATTTGCGACATTGTATGAACAAATACCAAATTTTGTGCTTCCATCATCAGTCTAGGAAGACTTATTGGAAGATCCAGAAGATTTGGAAGAGTCTTGGGTTCTAGCATGACTCAATAATCAACCGGAGAAGCAACGCCCTCACTTTGGAAGTTTGGGAGAAAGTTATAGTTGTGGACTAGGAAGATTTGATAGAATTGAATCTGAAATATTATTGTATATTCAAGTGTGTAAGTCTGTACAAGAAAGCTCTCTATTTATAGAGACTAAAAGACCTAATGGGATGACCTAATGGGCCAAGCCCACAATCTAGACTATTCTAGACTATTCTAATAATAATAAATTAATATTATTTCTAACACTCCCCCTCAAGCTGGTGCGTATATATCAAAAGCTCCCAGCTTGTTACAAATATGATCTATTCGGGGACCTCTAAGAGCTTTAGTGAATACATCCGCAAGTTGATCATTGGAATTGACAAATGCTGTCTCGATCTCCCTTGACTGGATCTTTTCTCTAACAAAATGACAGTCAATTTCTATATGCTTGGTCCTCTCATGAAAGACTGGGTTAGAGGATATATGCAAAGCGGCTTGGTTGTCACAAATGAGCTTCATAGGCCTTTGTTCACAGAGATGGAGTTCCTTCAGCAATTGACTCAGCCAGATGAGCTCACAGGTTGCATTTGCCATTGCCCGATATTCTGCCTCCGCACTGGATCTGGCGACCACAGTTTGCTTCTTACTCTTCCAAGAGATCAAATTTCCTCCGAAGAGAACACAATACCCTGAGGTGGATCGTCTATCTAAAGGAGAACCTGCCCAGTCAGCATCTGAATAACTAGAGATCTCTGAACTCCCTTTATTTGTATATAATAAACCTCTTCCTAGCGCCTTTTTAATATATCGGAGAATTCTAATAACTGCATCCCAATGGGAGTCACAGGGAGAATCAAGAAATTAACTTGCAACACTCACTGCGAAGGAGATATCTGGCCTTGTCACAGTAAGATAATTCAATTTTCCAACTAGTCGGCGGTAGCTACTAGGACCGGCAGTGGCTCCCCCTGTCCTGGTAATAACTTAACATTGGGGTCCATAGGTGTATCAATGGGTTTACAGCCTAACATGCCAGTCTCATCTAGGATATCCAGTGCATACTTCCTCTGACAGATGGAAATGCCCCGCCTAGACTGTGCAACTTCGATCCCCAAGAAATATCGAAGTCTGCCAAGATCTTTGGTCTGAAATTGATTGAATAAATGCTCTTTCAACTGATCAATCCCGGTCTGATCACTGCCTGTAATGATAATGTCATCAACATAGACCAGGAGATAAACGCACTGGCCAGAAGAGCTATGCCGGTAAAAGGATTCAACAACTGAACTAAAGCGGCTAAACCAGGCCCGAGGAGATTGCTTCAGGCCATATAAAGATTTTCGAAGTTTACATATCATTCCAGAACTCTCCCCCTGAGCAACAAAACCTGGTGGTTGCTCCATATAAACTTCCTCCTGCAAGTCACCATGTAGAAAAGCATTCTTAATATCAAGTTGGAGAAGGGGCCAGTGATGAATGGCGGCAAGGGCAAGAAACAGGCGAACAGAAGCCATCTTAGCAACAGGAGAAAAGGTATCCCCATAATCAAGACCAAAGATCTGTGTGTATCCCTTGGCCACTAAGCGAGCTTTAAGGCGATCAACAGTGCCATCAGGACCAACTTTAACTGTGAACACCCATCGACAACCAACAACAGACTTCCCGGGAGGAGCACGAACAAGATCCCAAGTGCCATTGGAGTGAAGTGCCTGCATTTCATCAAGCATCGCCTGGCGCCACCTGGATGAGATAGTGCTTCACCTGTGGTTTTAGGGATGGAAACAGAAGAGAGACTAGAAACAAAAGTAAAATGTTGTGAAGAAAGTCTGTCATAACTCAAGAAAGAATAAAGGGGATGAGGATTTCGAGTGGATCGAATACCTTTCCGAAGGGCAATGGGAGGAGTCTCTGATGGAGGATCCGGAGGAGAAGAGCCGACGGGAAAGGGCGATGAGTCATCAAGAGGCAAAGTCGGAGGAGGTGCAGGCTGACGACGCTGGTATGTGAGGAGAGGACGATCTGCAGGTATGGAGGTAATTGGTTGCTCCTCTGGAATAGGGTCACCTGCAGCTGGTAAAGACAAGTCAAGAAAAGGAACAGGAAGGACCTGATCAACTTGGGACACTGGAGACGGAGTAGAGTGAAAAGGCTGCTGATCAAGGAAAGTGACATCAGCAGAAACGATATAACGCTTGAGATCAGGAGAATAGCAACGATACCCTTTTTGAAAACGTGTATACCCAAGGAAAATACATTTGAAGGCCTTGGATGTCAACTTGTCTTTACCTGGAGTAAGATCATGAACAAAACAAGTACAACCAAAAATATGTAAAGGCAGAGGATAAGAAGGTGCTCCGGAAAACAAAATATTGTGGGGAACATCATTATTTAGCACAGAAGAGGGCATGCGGTTGATAAGGAAACATGAGGTGATAATAGCATCTGCCCAAAAACGGAGTGGGACGTTCATATGAATGAGAAGGGTACGTGCAGTTTCAACTAGATGTCTATTTTTACATTCAGCGACTCCATTTTGTTGTGGAGTGTGGGGACAGGTAGTCTGGTGTATCGTCCCTTGTGTATCCAGAAATTTAGAAAATTCAAGAGACACATACTCTTTTGCATTATCACTGCGCAAGATTTGAATAGTAGCACAAGATTTGAATAGTAGCACCAAATTGAGTTTTTATTTCTGCATAAAACTTTTGATAAATTGAAAATAACTCAGAACGATTTTTCATTAAATAAACCCAAGTGCAACGGGAGAAATCATCAATAAAGGTGACAAAATACTGAAAACCCAAAACAGACGTTGTTCGACTCGGACCCCAAATATCAGAATGAACAATAGAAAAAGGAGCATCAGCTCTTTTATTGACTCTATTAGCAAAGGAGGAGCGAGTGTGTTTTCCTTGCTGACAAGAATGACAGTTTAAAGACTTAAGATTGGATAAAAAGGGAACCATATGCTGAAGCTTGGAGAGGTTTGGATGACCCAAACAGCTGTGAATTAGCTCAGGAGACTCTGTGAGAGAACAGGCTACTGGAGAAGGTGGTGCAATCAGATAGTAGAGACCTCGTGACTCAACGCCTGCTCCAATCGTCTTCCCCGTACCCGAATTCTGCATAGAAAAGGATTGTTTAGAGAATAGTACATGAAAGAGAATGAATCAACTGGCTAACAGAGATTAAATTAAAAGGAATGCCAGGTATATAATAAACAGAACTCAAAGTTAAAAGGGGAGTTGGGTTGGCTTCCCCAATTCCACGAGCAGGAGCCTTAGTGCCATCAGCAAGAGTGACGGGGGGTAGGTTATTAGAATAAGAAAGTGAAGTGAAGAGATCTTTATTACCACAAAGATGATGAGTAGCACCTGAGTCTATTATCCAGGGTCCAAGAGATGATTGATAAAAACAAGCAACATGATTACCAGTGTCTTGAGTAGGATGCTGAGAAGAAACCTTCTTGAGAAGTGCCTCATAGTCGGCACTTGAAAGAGTTACTAATCCAGTTGAAGGTGGCGTAACATCAGTTTGAGCAAATTTGGCAGACGGTGGCTTCAAATGAGGGTACTTCCTATAGCAGCGTTCTTCAAAATGCCCAAGATTCTGGCAATAATTGCAACGAGGCCTCTGTCTGCGGCCACGTCTGCGACCGCGTCCACTGTTCCAATTGGAATCACTGGCCCGAGAAAAGAATGGAGATGGGGTAGTACCGGAGATGATGCCAGTCGTGTTTTTGGACGCATTATTTGAGCCCTCCATCACAAAATAAAAGAAGATGACCAGAAAATAGCAAAGAACTACAAGAAAGCAAGAAATCGCGCAAAAACGTTGCACAAAAGTGTCCAAACAGCGAGTTTTTAACTGATATCTTTCAAACGGATGGGATCCACAACGAACGGAGACCAGATCTGGAAAGAGGGTGAGGAGGCGAGCAAGATGGTGGTGGTCCGGCCTGGAACGGTGGCCGGACGGTGGCTCACACGCCGGAACAGTGGTTCGGCCGCCGGAGACTTCCACCGGCGCGTGGCGGCGCGTGGATGCTCTGATCAACACGCGGCTTGGACAGACAGGGTCGCCTCCCTGAGCCGCTCCTGATCGCGTGGTGGTTGGTCGAAAAAGTCGCCGGAAAAGCAGTCTGACGGCGGTGAACAGTGGCGGACGGTGGTTTTGTGGCGGTTTCCGGCGATGAACGGAGGCTGACGATCTTTTTCCTGATGATACGAGGTTGAGGACAAGAAATTTGTGACTAAATAAGGGTTAGGTGTGAAAGGATGGTTGCCGGTATGATGCACGGCAGTAAAAAGAAAGGAAAAGATATATATGCGGAAGCAGAGCCCTCAGATCGAGAGCTCTGATACCAAATTGAATCTGAAATATTATTGTATATTCAAGTGTGTAAGTCTGTACAAGAAAGCTCTCTATTTATAGAGACTAAAAGACCTAATGGGATGACCTAATGGGCCAAGTCCACAATCTAGACTATTCTAGACTATTCTAATAATAATAAATTAATATTATTTCTAACAGATAGGATACCATCTCACTTGCTACACAGTCCCCTGCACCTCAAGTAGACTGGATGCTACAGTGTTGAAGCACTGTTCCTTGGTAACCACCCATACTGTTACATTCCCTACTTGCCCTGAGTCCTTCTTGCCACCTTGTCATATCCCTATCATCTCTATCTCATCAAAGTATGATACAGCCCGAAGAGTAGTTATTAGTTAGAATAGTTATAGAAGTGAAGTGGTTGTGCGGTTAAAGTTGATAGGTGTCAGGTGTCAGGAATTAGCTTAAATAGTAGGAGACGGTAGAAGAGGAATTCATGTATTAGTATTGAAAACAGCTTCTTGTCCATCTTCTTTTCCCAGGATAGTGATTATAATTTTTTCTGGTATTTTACTTACCACTTCCCAAAGTATAATGTTGTAGAGGTGCAATAACCTGTTTAAATTTTCAACTATAGGATTATGAATTCCTCTGTTCCTTACTGCTGTGTTAGTTTCCCTTATTGTCCGAATTTTTCACTTCATAATTTCTTCCTCTTCATCTTTTTTTTTTTTTCTTGGAACACTTAAATTTCTTCATAATAGGCCTACTTTTTGTAATTGCTTAAATGCTTCTCTGTTGTTAGAGAATAATATAAACCATTAAAAAGGCTTTCACCCAACGCCTTAAGGTTTTGGGTTGAATTGGTTATTTATATGGTATCAGAGCTTCAGTGATCTCAAGGTCACGAGTTCGATTCTCACCGCCCCCCACTTATGGAATTAAATAAGCATAAGGTAAAACAAAAAAAATTTGGGCCTATGCAATATCCACATTTCAAGCCCAAAGGGCTCTTACATGAGGAGGTGTGTTAGAGAATAATATAAACCATTAAAAATGCCTTCACCCAACGCCTTAAGATTTTGGGTTGAATTGGTTCTTTATATCTGTCTTCTTTCATATCATCATCTTCTAAAGTTTGTGCAAGTTGCATATTAATAATAGATGTTGAAATTTGAACGTAATGATTTATATTATAAGTTAGGAAAACATACAGCTTCTGCTTGATAAAATAAAACAGTTGAAGACGTGTCACAAATATCATGGTAATCACAACTTGTAATATTTATGTACAAATGATTTCAGTCATTCTGCATATACTACTGTATTACACAGAAAACATGTACAATCTGGCTTCAATTTCATTTCATGATTTCACTCCTTCTGCATATACTACTGTATTACACAGAAAAAGTGTACAATCTGGCTTCAATTTCATGATTTGCATTTTTAAAATGATTTTTTGGATAGAACTTGTGTGGATATTGGATGTATCTTTTATATGGTTGCAGGGATGGTTGGCAGGACTGAAGACAGATGATGATTCTCGTCAATTACCCACCATTGCGATAGTGGCATCATATGACACCTTTGGGGCTGCTCCTGTATGTTATTTATTAATTCCACCAATAAAACCAAACTGTATGAAATGTATGATGTGTTAAATATCTGTAATTGTAGGCATTATCAGTGGGAAGCGATAGTAATGGAAGCGGCATTGTGGCTCTTCTTGAAGTAGCTAGGTTATTTTCTCTTTTATATTCTAATCCAAAGACAAGAGGACAATACAATCTTCTGTTTGGGCTAACGTCTGGTGGGCCTTACAACTACAATGGAACCCGTAAGGTGATATTTTCTGTTTGGAATCATTTATCTGCTGATAGGTCTATAACATTTTTTCCTTCCCTATTTGTTATGATTTCTGTAACATGTATATCTGTATTTTCCAGTGGCTTCGGAGCTTTGATCAACGTCTGCGTGAGAGCATTGACTATGCTATTTGCTTAGATAGTATTGGCTCCTGGGAAAATGAATTGTGGATTCATGTTTCTAAGCCTCCAGAAAATGCATATATTAAGCAAATTATGGAAGTGAGCTTTTACACTGGCGTGGAATTTACTAAAATGCATAGACTTGAATTTTGTCTTAATGACTTTTAATGGTGAATATTGGTGTAGGATTTTTCAAGTGTTGCAGAAGAGCTAGGCTTTAAAGTGAATCTGAAACATAAGAAAATAAACATTTCCAATCCTCGAGTAAGTGATAAATTCTTACTGTTCTGTTTCTCTTGGATAGCTCTTTAGCAGTTTATATTTCGTTTTCATGCTATGTGGTTGTATTTTCAGACAATTGCCAACCCCCTCCCACTCATTTTATTACTATGAACTATGAACACTTCATCATATATGGTTTACATATGATTATCGAAATAGTTTGGAGCTATGATGGTTTTGTTGTTCTAATATTCATTTTAATCTGTTGTCAAATCATTTTCTTTTATTTCTTTTCCATGTTGCTTCATTCATGAGATCCTTCAGACTTGGTTGTTGAAAGAAATATTTTAATGACTTACTATTGAATCTACAGATGCCTGTTGGTTACCACTTCCTCGTCTACTGGCTTGTGCTTTGTGTCTTTATATTTTCTGATAGCAAGCATGTACTTTCCACATTTTCTGTCTAAACGCGACTTCTAAAGTTGGGTATTAAAACTAGTCATCTGTTGTAGGTAGCTTGGGAGCATGAACAGTTTTCAAGGCTGAGAGTTACTGCTGCCACCCTCTCTGAACTCTCTACTGCACCTGAATTGCTAGAAAGCACTGGTGGTCTGGTTGACAGCAGGTTCATCTTTTGACCTAAAAGCCAAAATTTTATTCTTTTCTATATACTTTTTTGCTGAGAGTTTCATTCTGCAGGCATTTTGTTGATGAAGCGGCGATTGTAAAAAGTGTGAAATTAATTGCTGAGAGTCTTGCGGTAAGAATAATTTTACCTCAAAATAAGGTAGTAAGTTTGCACAAAAAGGGGGGTTGGGGTTAAAGGAAAGAAAGATTGAGAATCTAACATGCTGTCCTTGTAATTTTTTTTCTATGACTTGACATATGAACTATGAAGAGGTTATGAAGGAATGTTTTGATGTTTGTCCTGGACACTGATTCTTAATTTTGCTTTTAAAATTTATTATTTTTCACAATATTTTGTTAAAAGGTTGTGTGAGTATATATATTTCTCTAGTAATGACAAAACTAGTGCTTTCATGTTTATCATATTCAATGTAAAGTAGATGCTTTTTGATATATGTAGTAGGTGGTATGCATCTTTCTGATGTTTCTACTAGGGGCGGGCATTTAACTGCAGACACCATGGTGGCTTTAGATTGCTCCATTATGATTAAGGAAAATGCTACTCGGCTGGAATTTGTTTGATAGAAAGGGAGCCTGAATGAACTGTTGTAGGAGATTTATTAAAACCTTTGAATTCAGAATACGGTAAAGTCGCTCCGGGGTGGGGGACTACTCCTTTGATGGGTGTTGCAATGGCGCTATTTGTGATCTTTCTTTCTATTTTACATTTTCTTGTCTTCTTTATTCGATTTTACCCTTTATCAGATTCAAAATTTCAGATAAAAAATAAAATCCAGTGAGTTAGCTTGCTTATTTACTCTTGGATGGATGAGTGGTCCCTACCACTTTGTATTATCCAACAAACACCCTTGAATCAAGCTAAATTTTGGCTAATTGTTACTGCGTGTGTAACACTACTGATTCATTTATGACATGCTGTTTATTTCAACTGTGTATTTTGATTCGTACAAACATACACAAAACAGGTTACTCTTTGCACGGAATTTGTTAGGCTCTGAATTCTAATTATCCAGACTTGGAGTTTTCAGAACGATCAGAGAGAAAACAATTGGCAAGGAACAAATGTTCTTTTGTTGATATTGGAAAATAGGTGTATTCAAGAGGACAATCTCCTCTCCCAGGGATGAATCCCCGTGGCTGAGCCTCACCTCAGTCTCAAAAAGAAATAACAAAGACTCCCCTTTCACAACTTGTCCCCTCCTATTGATACGTCTCCACTCCTTTATCACAGCCAACTTCCTAACCCAATTGTAACTAACTCCCTGTTGAAGTTGTTGGATATATATTCCTTCTCAAATATGCTCTCCACATTGAAGGCTGACCTCCATTCTGAATACCAGTCATAACAGAATTTGCTTCCTTCTCTTTGCATCTTGGATTCTTGTGTTCCACCTTATCTTCCATTATACATCTTTTAAGTAAAAGCATGGTGTTTGAAATTCTTAATATTGATATCTGATTTGATTTAATTATGTGAATTGCTGCAACATATGTAGTTGTAGATATGGCTAATGGTATTTAGTATTATAAATTTTTTATTTTATATTTGAAGTGCTCGTGTCATTGACATTCTGGGTATGCCTTAATGAAGATAATCCTTGATTTCATGTGTTCCTATTCTTTGTCGGCTATTTCAAACTGGCTTATTTGGGAAGGGATTACTAATATAGTTGAATAGATGTTCATGACCTGTTACACTCTTACTTATTGAGTGTCATCTGTTTTTAAAGAATTTCCCAGAAAGAAAAAGTATTTAAGAGATATATATTGGATGTCCAGTATCTTTTGACCTGACTTGGCATCAACAATCTTCTTATATTTTTTGTGCGAAGCCAAGTTCCTTGGTTTTAACAGTCTTATCTACTTTCTGTAGAGGCATATTTATGGACATCAAGGGAAAAACATCCAGATCTTTGCGGACAACAGTAACTTGGCTGTAAATCCTTCTTATGTTCGATCATGGTTAGATGTTTTGTCCCAAACACCTCGAGTGGCACCATTTTTCTCAAAAGATGATCCTTTTGTCATGGCACTGAAAAAGGTATTAATATTGTTGCTTGCTGGAACAATTTTTTTGGTTGTATTTTGTATCAAATTCGAATTTCCAGAGTTTGATTTTTGGTTGATAAGGGATTATGTGTGCTTTGGGCTATGTTCTACATGATGATATTGTGTAATGTTTCTGGAGTAAACTGTTACAGTTTTTTATTTTTATGATTTTATTACTATTTTATGAATTGTTGGTTTGTTTAAATAGTGGGTTGTGGGTAGTTATTTTGTTTGTTTTGTTATTTGAATATCAACTTTAGGCATTAATTATTAGTGGAACCTATCTAGTGTTAGTGGGTAGTTACTTTGTTGGCTTGTATTATCTATTTAAACCTTGAAATATTTGAATAAAGATCATCAGAAGAATTATTTGAAAAAAAATACTCTGTGCAAGAGGTCATGCTTTCTCGGTAAAGCCATTTGAGGTCAGGCTTCCTCAATAAAGCCAAATTCCCAATTTTATTTATTGTGTTCGTAACAATTGGTATCAGAGCCAGGCACAAACACCACGCATGGAGAAACGATTGGAAAGACTGGAAGACGCGATTCTATCTTTGGTGGAACAATTCAAGGAGATGCTTACCAAACTCTCCAATCGGCTAGATGCTCTAGCACCAATCACCAAATGAGCAACTCCCCTCAACATTACCATTAAAAATTTAAATACGGTCAAAGTATCTCAATCAAATAATGCCCCTCAACCAAGACCGCACTTTCATTTAGACATGGGATATCTAATGAGAAATTCAATTCTAAAATTCTTTGAGAAGAAGAAAGAGTTGTGACGAGAGGATGTTTTCCAATCAACAGCAAAGGAGAGGCAGACATGGATATTGAAGATGATTCAATTACTTGATCTTGATTTTACTCTTGAGGACGAGTAATTTTTAGGGCGAGGGAATGTTACAGTTTTTTTTTATTATTTTATGAATTGTTGATTTGTTTAAATAGTGGGTTGTGGGTAGTTATTTTGTTTTGTTATTTGAATTTTAACTTTAGGCTTTAACTATTAGTGGAGCCTATCTAGTGTTACTGGGTAGTTACTTTGTTGGCTTGTATTATCTATTTAAAACTTGAAATATTTGAATAAAGATCATTAGAAGAATTATTTGAAAAAAAACATTGTGCAAGAGGTCAGGCTTCCTCAATAAAGTCAAATTTTCGATTTTATTTATTGTGTTCGTAACATAAAATGCCACAAATTTACTGCATATACTATTTTAGTAGTTGTAAATTATAACAAAACAAGTAGGATTAGGGTTGAGTACTTGAGGGTGCTCACTCAATTTTCTTGATACCCGGAGGTGAACTTGAAGCTTATCCATTGTCATCACTCTTGTTTACTTACCCAAGTGTTCTACATGTTTGTAGGAATTAGAAGATCATACTGATGAGGTCAATCTGCAACGAGAAGTGCTAGATGGGATTTTCACTTTCTATGATTCAACTAGAGCAAAGTTGAACATATATCAGGTATTTGAAGTTATTATGTGTACAACCTTAAATGGATTTTTATTTGATAGAGTTTTGCATTGACGATCTTCAGTCCTGACCCTGTTTGAAGTTTACGTGTTCTTCAATTTCTCCTGGGTGAAACAATTTTTTTGGTCATTTGACTGACCTGTTTTCCATGATCAAGAGGGTTTTTTTACAACAATCAAAATGTTTTTATTTTCCAAATAAGCATTTTACTTTTAGGTTTCTAATTAAATGTAATCCATTTGCCTCGAAATTTAATTGTCTTGTGTCTTTACAGGTTGCCAGTGTCACATTTGACTTGCTGTTGCTTCTAGTATTGGGATCATATTTGATTGTGCTCTTCAGTTTCTTGGTCATCACAACTAGGGTATGTTTTTATTATCTAACATCCCTTGCAAACCTTTAGATAACTATTTTGTGTGCACTCAATCTTAGTGATGCGTTTGACAGGGTCTTGATGATTTAATCAGTTTATTTCGGCGGCCTCCCTCTCGAAAAGTGAAAACTGCATAGTGACCAGGCAGAATTTTGCTCCGAGGTTTTGCCTACATAGTTCTGAAGTTTTAATTAAATAGTATTTTAGGATTATAGTTTCTAATGAAAAGCCCCGTAGAGATTTTCGTTCGTCATTTGTTAAAGTTGGTTGGTTTAGTGGTTAAAAACTGCAAGATGTTTATTTTTCGCTGTGCTATGTTGAGGACGCCAAAATTTTGATATTTTTATTCTTCGTCCTTCTTATTTGGTGCATTTTTGCAGAGGAAAGAATGGTTATTAATGGATGTGCTGTGAACCCACGGCTCACCGCAAGTTATAGCTAGTGGTTATCCACGTTACTTGCATTTGAACCAAGAAAAGATTGATTTGGTAAATTTATCAAATATAAATTTGCTGCTTAGTTATTTATATTGACTTTGCACAATATTGCAACTGAGTAGAGCTTATTTACAAGTAAGTTTGTTTCTTCGTCCGCGCAGGACGCATATATATACAGTTTGGGGCAGGAAAAAGTTTCTTAAAAATGAATTTTTTTTTTTTTTTTTGATAGTTAAAATGAGTTTAATTTTATATTCATTTTAATTTGGATTATATTGTGATTTTAAAAAAACCCACACACACACAAATAGTAAGTGTTATACTATAGTATAAGTGTTGATTTTTTGCATCTTATGAATCATTACATACAAGTGGATAAGTTTAACTGTAAATTTTTTTATTTTACACTTAATGGTGATATTTTATGTTGATTGGTCATGTTTTAACACAAATATGAGTATATACAATTAAAAATGTGATGAATAGATATTTGTGTTAAATCTTATAATCGGAGAGAATGAAATTAACTTACCAATATAAAAATAGGATTCTCATCTTTAATAAATAAGAAATGTTAAATATAAACACAATTAACAGTTAATAATGAATATAATCATTTTTACACTCGTATAAATTTCTTTTTTCCTATCCAGATTTTTCATTTATATGAACATAAATCTTTTATTTTTAGTTATAATAAATGTGAAAATAGATTTGAAAGTTGTAAAAAAGAAAAACAGTTTCTATAAAAAAAGTTAATGTAACAATTTTTTATTTACTAACGCGTTCAATGGAACAATCTCTTTTATTAAGTGGTACAAATTCTTAGTTACAATTATTTAAAGAAAACTTTAGTAACACTTTAATGCTTTTAAAGATTCTTTATATAATTAGGTAAAATTTCACATAAATCTTTTTTAAGTAATCTGAATCTACTATTTGTTAATTCAGAATAATTTTTTTTACTAAAATAAAAAGTGCGAAAGAGTATGTTTTCCATATAAATGCTAGCCTTTTTTCTCTCTATAATCGGTGTTATTTATTTAATTAAAAAATGCTCGGCAAGTAAAAGGAATGTTTCAGTAACTGACAGTTGGGTATGAACATTGCCAATTTTTAGAGAAAGAAGGCATACATTAATTCAAGTTTTAAAGACGAATAACGCGGTCACTTAATCCTATTTTAAAGATGATCTAATTATATAAAATTTTCTATATATCCATAAGTGACCAACCACAAAGAATATGGAGTGAAAGTAGGGGAAAAAAAAAGAAAAAAAGAAATATGAATCCCGCTCTGGGTACTGCTTTCAATAGCCAAATAAATTCATTGTTTTTCAGTTTTTTTTCCTATGGGCATCATCGATATGCTAGACACGAGAATCAACTAGAGTAAAAGATTAGACAAGATATTTATTTAACCGATTTGGCTAACATTTAAAAACTAAAGTTGTAAGATATTTATTAGACTTGATCGCTTGTCATTCAGTGGCCTTGCCTTTACGTCTGCTGCTACTGCCAGTTTCCAACAAGTAACAAACCATAGAATCAACATCATCATCCCCAAATATGCTGTATGCCTCAATCGCTTGGATGTAACTAAATCCCATTGATAGTAGCATCTGCATACTGCTGCTAAGATCAGAACCATGCTCTTTCCCATGCTCCTTCTTGCCAGCTGTGCCAGATGATCCTGCTGCTCTTATTAATACATAGTTAGCTATATATTGCAGAATACACAAATATAGTCACGGATGATTTTTTTTCTCTCACGGGGCATTACGTAAAGGAGAAATTCTTTTATGCCTGAAAATCACGATTACCAAAAATATGTTGGGAAAGTGAATTTCATGAGAATGTGAAAAAAAAAACTGTTTAATAGAGCAAAATATTACCAGGAATGCTGGAAAAGTGAATTACCCCAACTGCATTGCTGGCATGCCACTAGCGCGGGAAGAAGGGAACAAAAAAACAACAAAATGGACTTGGCGCTAGCCTCCCCACCACCACGCCACTAGCGTGGGAAGAAGGCAGGAATATGGACTTGGCGCTAGTGGCGACATCGCCGCGCCACTAGCGCGGAGGTCAAAAATAGTGGGAATCCAAGCGTGATATTCTTGGATAGCATTCTGGCTTAAAAATTGTTCAGAAATTAAAATAATGGAAAATCAGATTCTCGAAAAAAAATTCACAATCCTTGTACTAAACGTGGATAAATAAGATTACCAATCTTAGTTTTCTGGTAATCCAAAATTTTTCCTTGTGCCAAACGCCACCTTGGGAAAAACTTGGAATAAAACAGGCTAGACAAATATCAGAATGATCAAGTTTTACTCAATTTCATACTTTCAGGTCTTGACACTGATGTAATATACAATTTTTTTAAGCAAATAGCCCGAGTATGAGAGCGAGACACTCACTTGCTCCAGAAGATGATGGTTCAGCATTTGAGGTAGAGGACTCTCTATGGCCAAGCTGCTGCTTAAATGTACCATCTGCAACATACTCAGCTCGAGAAACTTCCATCACCATGCGTTCAATTTCCTTCTCTGTAAGCTCAAGATCAGAGTAAAATCGTCCCTCAGCTAAAAGTGCCTGTTGAAAGAAAGTAGATGAAAAATTAATGTTGTCATCATCAAATTTAAAAACCTGTTGCTCACACTATTACAATTTAAAATACTTGCATTATTGATCAGCTGGTCTTGTTGAGCTTTAATAGCAGCCTTGACTTGATCTTTGTCAACATTTGTCTGCATCATAAACACAAATGGACCATCAACCATTAGCCAACCAACTGATCAATGTGACAACTCCCAAGTTATATGGTCCCTTCCTTGAGCCTCCCAAAATCCTTATGAGGTTTTCTATAAAAATTTAATACAGAATACAATATAATTCAATTAACAGATAAACTGGAACTCTTAACGTCTCACTAGAATACAGAATATAAAAAACATAGCAAGAGGAATGATCGGGGCACAGTACTCACTCCACGAAGAGTGCTGAACCCAAGTCCAGCACCAATTGTCAAGCGCCGTGGGTCCACAAGGGAGTTGTAATGATTCCCATCATGATAACTCAGTCGAATTGGTGGTGTGTCAGTGTTGTAGCTTCCGTGAAAGATATTGATAGGTTCTGCATCAATAGTTGATGTTATTGAATAGTACATAACTCGCTCACAATTAAAGCCATCAAAATTTGAGACAGCAGCTGCACCTGTAGTGTAGGAGTACATATGAATGGGGCGATTATACATTTCACACATGGCTTGGATCTCAACATTGTTTCCATAGACCTGCCAAGAAGGATGAACGCATGTTTAAACTAAAATGGAAAGTTTAAATAGCTATTAACAACTACAAATGTATTTTCCGAAAAGGGCCAGATGTAATTTCTAATGTCCAATTTCTTTTATAAGATGTTAGAATAGGAAATATAATATTTATAGATTTGTATCGATTACGTTCTTATCTATAAATATTCTTTCCCTTATTTAGAATTTGGGTTAGATCTGGGCTTCTCACTTAAGCGCATTAGGGTCTCTATATATTATGTATCTCTTTGTATCAGTTTAATACACAACATTTTATTATTTCATATTTTCCATATTCTCAAGTTGGTACCAAAGCTCTTTTGTTATGGGGGACCCTCGCTTCCGCTAAAAAAAAAAACAGTAAGCTCACTGCTTAGGTGTTCTCTTTTCCTTGCCGTTTGTCCTTCCGGCAAGTCATCTAAGTCATGTGCCCCTTCAAATCGCTTCGTATACCTGTCAGCACCTGCATTAGCCACCAGAATCGCCGTTCGTCACTGTTAATGGTCACCGGAGAACTTTTCTGGCAACGTTTCAACCAGAACACCTGCGATCAGAACCTCCTCTCTCCGGCTACTTGTTATGTGGAAGACCCATCACCGTTAGAGCCTCCACGCGCCCCCACACATGGCTTCTTCTCTTTGCGCGTGAGCATCACGCGCCACCTTTCACCGACGCGTGTGCACTGTTCCGGTGTCCTTTTTCGGCCATTCCAGGACAGAACAACTTGATTTCTTCTCTCCTATCCAGATCTGCCCATGGTTCTTCGTGGGTCTCACTTTCGGCGTGTCTCTCTTCTTGATTGGCCATTGGTTTGTTTCTATTCTCTTGGTTATGTACTTTTTTAATTTATTTTAATGGCAGAAACTTCTCCTGTTCACTAAGAGGTTAATTTTCCTCCTCTTCCTGTCAAAAGCTCCACGGGTATCATCTCCACTAATGTTGGACCCATTACCTCCTCCAAACTGAAAGGTTCTGTTAATTACAAGAATTGGGCCACCTCTGTTCGAGTCTGGTTTTTTTGGACAGGGGTATGAGCGACATCTCACAGTTAAATCTACTGCTATTCTTAAGGAAGAAAAATCTGATTGGGAAATGATTGAAGCCAGCTTCTGAGTATTCTTTGGCAGTCTACTGGTCCAATCATTTTGGATATTTTCTATTCTTTTCAGACATGCAATGCAGTGTGGGAGGAAGCATAACACCTCTACACTAATGATGTTCAGCACAAGTCGCCCTCTCGAGTCATGTCTTAACTTAAGGATTTGCACAAATCATCTGACACTCAGATGGAGATGTATGTTGGCAACAGTCGATCTTTGATGCAGGCATACTTAGATATGTTGCCCTACCCTACTGATGCTTCTGCATATAGGAAACAGATGGAACGTCTTTTTATGGTTGCCACACTTTTTGGTCTTTCCAAGGAGTATGATAATGTCTGTGATACTATTTTGACTAGTGGGGATCCTGATTTATCACTGACTTATCAGCGCCTTCTGAACCTCAACAAGAAATTTGATCCTGCATCATCTTCTGTTGTAGATTTCACTACTCTTGTTTCCCGTACTGACTTTCGCGGGAACAGTGGAGGTGGTCATGGTAAGGGCCAGGGCAGACGTGGTCAGCAACCTCATCATTATTGTCAGCAACTTGGTCATTATAAGGAGCGTGTTACTCAAAGTATTCTCACATGCGACCCTCTCATGCTGCGAATATAGCTCAGTCAGATACTGCTTCATCTAGAACAGTCTCTCTCTTCTGCAGTTTATGCAGCGCTCCAGACTCTTCTCAGGAAGGCTTCTCAGTCTCAGCCTTTTGCTCCAGATACTGGTAATCCTGTTGCTTGTGGTTCTCATGCTACATCACTTAGTCCTTGAATATTTGACTCAAGTGCTACTGATCACCTCTATAAAGGAACTCTTTACATCTCTTATTTATTCTGATCATTTATCTTCTTTCACTCTTGTTGATGGCACTAAAGCCCCTATTCATGGGATTGGACAAGTTTGTCCAACCTCTTCTTTGACCTTGACATCTGTCTATTACATTCTTGATATCCCTTATAACTTAATTTCTGTTAGTAAATTAATCAACTCTCTTACTTGCATTGTTACCTTCTCAAACCATTCTGTTTCTTTGCAGGATCCAGGTACGGGAAAGACGATTGGAGAGGGCCATGCCATAAGTCACAGTGTCTGTTCTACCCGGTTGTGCCTCGTCCTTCAATGGCTTGTTCTTTCACAGAATCTCCATAACTCATCCCAGTCTTTCAAAAATGCAGAAGATGGTTCCTCCTTTATCCAGTCTTCAATGTTTAGATTGTCTGTCATGTCAGCAAGGGAAGTACATACGCTCCTTCTTTGCCAGTCGAATCAATAAACAAGCTGAAACTTCTTTTTCAATTATTCATTCAGATATTTGGGGTCCATGTCGTAGTTTGTCTGTATTAGGGTTTCGGTATTTTGTTACTTTTATTAATGATTATTCCCGTTGTACCTGGATTTATTTAATGAAGAATCGTTCAGAGATATTCACTATTGATAAAAAAAAATTGCCGAGATTCATACTCAATTTGGTGTTTCTATTCGTATTTTATGTAGTGATAATGCTAAAGAATATGTTTCTATTGATTTTTCTAATATCTTAGCCACAGAGGGTACTTTACACCAGACTACATGTCCTCACACTCCGCAACAAAATGGAGTGGCCAAATGTAAAAATAGACATCTCATTGAAACTACACGGACTTCTCTTATTCACATGGATGTTCCTCTTCACTTCTGGGCCGATGCAATACTTGCATCATGTTTTTTCATCAACTGCATCCCTTCATCTCTACTTAACAGTGACATTCCCTATAACTTGTTGCTTCCAGATGCTCCTCTCTATCCTCTATCCCTATACGTTTTTAGTTGTACTTGTTTTGTTCATGATCTCACTCCTGGTAAGGACAAGTTAACATCCAAAGCCTTAAGTATATTTTTCTTGGTTACTCTCGTCTTCAAAAGGGTTATCGTTATTCTCCTGATCTTAAGCGTTATCTTGTTTCCGCTTATGTCACTTTTCTTGATCAACAACTCTTTCATTCTATCCCTACTCAGTTGTCACAGGTTGATCATGTTCTATCCCAGAGGAGCGACCTATTGCTTCTATACCTAAGGACCGTCCTTTTCTCACCTATTAGTGTCGTAAGACTATGCCTCCTGTGGACTTGACTCTGGCTGACTCACCGCCCTCTCTTGTTGATTCTTCCGCTTCGGCTCCTTCACCAGAGGCTCTTCCCATTGCCCAAAGAAAAGAAAGGTATACGTACTACTCGTAACCCTTATCCTCTTTAAACTTTTTTGAGCTATGATTATCTTTCTACTCCTCATTTCACCTTTGTTTCTAGTCTTTCTTCAATTTCTATTCTTAAGACCACAGGTGAAACACTATCGCATCCAGGGTGATGCCAAGCGATGCTTGATTAGATGACTTCACTTCATTCCAATGACACTTGGGATCTTGTTCCTGCTCCTCTGGAGAAGTCTATTATTGGTTGTCAAGGTTGGGCCTGATGACCATATTGACCATCTCAAGGCGCGCTTAGTAGCCAAGTGGACTCTCGCGTGAGGGAATGTGTTAGAAAATAGTATAAACCATTAAAAAGCCTTCATCCACTAGCTTAAGTTATTGGGCTGAATTGGTTCTTTACATATTAGGGACTTGTGTCCCGGATTCGATCTTCACCACCCCCCACTTTCTCTTATGGAATTTCTTAGCATTGGTAGGCTGGGCTTGATGCATTATCCACCTTTCAACCCCAATCGGCTTTCTTGTGAGGGAGCGTGTTACAGATATATAAAAACCATTAATGTAGCCTTACTCACCAGCTTAAGCTTTTGGGTTAAATTGGTTCTTTACAGAAGACATACACATTACTGACATTGCTGAAATAATTAGAAAGCCACCAAATGGTTGTAGCTTGCTTGGTAGCAAGGGAGCTGAGTAAATGGAAAAGAAAGGGCCTTTGTTCGATCCCCACATGCCACCTTTGGGAGGGGTTCAAATATCTTCATTCCTAACTCGCCGTGCACTTCGCATTAGTCCCATAACCAGTTTCAAAGAGTCGAAGAATGTAGGGATATTGGGGGGAGCCAACTCGCCTCAAAGAGATATTTAGGGTTGAGTTAACTCCAAAAAAAAGAAAAGAAAAAAAGAAGAATTAGAAAGCCTAAAGTTGAATTGGGGTTCGGGGTTCACATGAACATCTTTCGAAATAAAGCAATGAAGTTCTGAGACAATCTAACTTTCGGACAGAAAAAATCGTGTCTTAATTGGAAACATTTAGAAGAGAGGCATAACAAAATAAGAGACTTTGTAATCATATCGATGTCAAGGGAGGCAAACGAAAACAGATTACGGTTCTATCAGATTTCTAGATTTCCTCTAATGGAAGATTTACTCTATACCACCGGTAAAGCAAGCCATGTTCACGAGAGTGAGAAAGAGAAGCCTATTCTCAATCAGCCTCCTCAAACTCCTATTATTCTGCTGAAGTTTCTAATGTCCGCTAATCACCAGGACAAACTTGTCAGGTCAGCTATAACCCGGTCCACTTCTTAGTTCATGAGCAATACTGCCTCTATAGCCATGGAACCTTTAACCCACACTCATTGCAAGCAGCTACAACATCCACTTGAGCTTGAAGCAGTAAAGTAGCCAGCCTCTTTGCTAGAATCAGAATATCCAACCATGAGCTCTTGATGCCCATTATAATTCTAAATGATGTGTTCACGGTACTGGTCCATGGATAAAAGCTTTCATATAACTGAACAAGCTCCTCTTTGGTTTGTCACAGTTTCACATAATGGAGCCACCCGCAAAGTCCACCAGGACAAACTCTTCCCAGCTCCCCAATAACAGCAAGTTGTGCGTCCTTTTGTAATAGCTCTATTGCAAGGACATCACTCGTCTTCTTGACACACTCCAAATGTTGCTTGTTTGCTGTTTCAGCAGCTTAGGTACTCAAATTCCTCTCCACCATCCTAAACTCCAAATGTTGCTTGTTTGCTGTTTCAGCAGCTTAGGTACTCAAATTCCTCTCCACCATCGTGAACTCTAGTTCTGCAAGCCACAATTTGGGTACTCAAATTCCTCTCCACCATCCTGAACTCTAGTTCTGCAAGCCAAAATTGTGGCTCAAGTTTAAGAACAAAATTCCCTTTCTCCACAGTCTCAAGTCTTTGGAAAGTAGAAAGATCTTTGCAAGCATTTTTCTACTCTAATTCCTTAAGTGCCACTTCGGTCTTCTCAAACAAGCCAGCATCAACGAGAAGGGATGCTGAGTTGCTATATGTTGTTCAATCTCCCGTGACTCAGACCATCCCTCCTTATCTTGTTAATAACCCTTTCAGCATAAGAAATATCATTAACAGCAGCAAGGGCTCTCATCAAGCAATCATGTGTAAGAATCTAGCACGATATTGGTAGACTTCGTTTCTTGTATGATGGAAGGAGTCTTTTCTGGTTGTCCTATTTTTGTATATAGAACCATGAGGCTGTTAGAAGACATGAAACTTAATGGAAGGCTAAGGTATTTTATCTTTTTTATGAGACTTGCTTTTTCAGTCATCAATTCCTTGCAGCAACAAATGAGAAGGGCCCCACGACATAGATGAAATTTTGCAAATTTAGGGATATAAACAAAATAATTTCCGGTAGCATCAATACCTAGAGCCTTCGCAAGCAGAACAAGATGTATAGCAAGAACAATGATGGTTCTGTTCTTGTTCCTCTTAGCCATGAATTTTGATAGCTTGAGAACAGGGTGATAGAGCTTGTGGAAGCAAAACTTCTTGAGAGGGTCTTGTTCATATTCCTCTTTCACTCTAGATGAAGTAGTTGACGTGATGAATTGGGAACCACCATCTTTTGAAGAGCTTGAAGTACGGTGGTTTCTCTATGTATTTCTTTGATCGCTTCAACACAGTCTTGTTGCGCCTGTATTGTTGAATGTTTGACACTTTCGCAAGCTTGCCTCTACGATGACTTTCTTCGTGCTGGCAGAGAGATAGGAAATGCTCAGAGTTGGCGAAACCAAACCTAACACCCTAAGTTCATCCAATTGGCACTTGGGAACCTCATTCACATGATCTCCTATGACACAATGCGAGTACTCAACAACCAAGCCACCATCAATTTCATGAGTCAATAAAGCATCCAAAGCGGGCAACACAAAGTCCTTTAGTCTGTCTGACGATAAGAATGTTGTACAAGTGTTCTTTTAGGGACGATGATATGATAACAATTGTGATACCCAAGCACAATAGATTTGTCATATACTCGTCCTTATTCCTTTGCCCGTTCCTAAAATAAGCTAGGACATGGCCCATTAGGTCAAAATGCATACCCATTTTGCAAAATTCCAATTGTGCCCTTCCTTTCTTCTTCTCTGGAACCCACTCATTTCCCTTACGATGTATGGTGAACACCCATGATAGCTCAGTTGGGAGCAACCTGCCGTCAACCATTTAAGGGCTCAATTTTGACAACTTTGGTGGAGGTAGGGCCCTTAGTGGATTGTGCATCACTCGCATTCCCACGGGATGTTGTCTCGAACTTCTTTCTTTGCTTCCCCATGATGCTACCGCTCAAACATACATCCACTTTCAGCGATAAAGGTTCAAACGACACAGTTGCTTCTCCATCTTCTGCTTCCACTACGATCTTCTCCACTAGCTTTACGGCCTCAATCATCTCTACCACCACATCATGCTTTGGTTCCATCTCAGTGTCCTGTTTAGGATTTGAATCACAAACACCCATGACAAATGTCAAGAACTAACTGCCCTAAAAGATTAAGTTGTTGGGTAACGGCAATGGTTTTGATATATCTCTCAGCACGATTCCTCATGAGTGAAGCCGTGAACCCAATTTTGGACTTTAAAGTGTGGATAATGCATAGGCTCATTTATCAATTTACCTTGAGCTAAAATTTAACTTTTTGTTATTAGAAAATTGGAATGGCAAGGATTGAACATTAAACCATTTGATCATAGACACTGATACCATATTTGTCTTAAAAACAGAAAAACCAGAAAAACCATCAAAGATCTTTTATGGTCTTTTATGACCCCGAAAATGGTATAGCGGTGTAACGGATAGCGGTATTGCCGCTACGTTGAAGTATTAATTCCACATATATTATACTAACAGTCTAATACTACACAAATATAAATGCTCAAACATAAGAAGTCACAAAAATCAAAAACGTAATTCCACAATCAATGTCAAATACAAGGAAGATAAAGGAAGGATCTAAAATTAAACATAAATGAACAATGAATTCCACAAATCAAACACATAATTCCATAATCAATGTCAAATAGCGGGTAGCATCGCGTTGCACAAATATACATGTTGCTTCCTTCCGCTCCCGGCCAGCGTCGCGTCGCGATTGTAACAACCAGCGGCAGCTACCCGCTAATGTAGCGACGCTACGGGCCGCTACTGACAACCTAGCATCACAGAATGGCGATGCGTATTGCTTGATATGATTCAATACAAAACAAAAACAATACAGATCGAACGTGTGAACAGGAACAAACCATGAACAACTCTTTGAATCGCGGAATCCTACAATTCAATTTTGTATCGCACATAGTATCAAGATTTGCGATTCAAAATCCAATAAGATTTTGGAAAGAGAAACGACCACGAAGCGGGAGATTCAAATAATCGAGAATCTGGATAGTTGTTTACAATTAGGGATTTCCCAAAATATCAATTCCCAACCAAATTCCAATTAAAAAGATTCCAATTTTCCTTTCTCCTCTTAACCAAGGAGCATTCATTTTTTTATTCTTCTTAATTCTTTCTTTCTCTTCTGAATCTTATGATTCAACATGATTCACGATACAAAAAAGCAGTCGAACAATTAACGAGCAACTCAACAACTTTGTAGGAAATAATGAAGTTTATTGATGAAAGAATACAAGAATACAAGGGCAGAGCTCTTGACAAAGGAATTCTCCCTTCATAGTGAGATTTACAACCATATCTCCAAAAGTAACTATCAATAGGGGTTATCTCCCATATATACAATATCTGTGCTTCCTTCCTAGATCACTCACGGCATAATTGTCTCATATAGCAATTGCTAACTGTTCTGGCCTCCTAAATATATCTGTAACTAACCTAGCAGCTTCTTGGGTATATTCCTTTGAGAATATGCTCTCGAAGAATTAGGTTGCCCCCATAACCACTTTACAATATAGATAACTCTTCCAAAACTAATGTGGTACAAAAAAATTAGAAGGGTTTATACAAGTGAACAACCATGATTGATGACCCACATTTGGATTAATAGGTTTGTTAAAAGCCTATAAGCATTTCAACTCCCCATTACATTAATCACACCCCTCACCTGCAGCTTTGACAATTTACCATTCTAAACTGTTATAGAAGTAATTTGCAATAAATTTATAGACAAGATAGATTGATTTATTTCCTGAGCAGAGTTCAACAATCAATAGCAAATTAAAAGGGAGAAAAATAAAGCAATCATATCCAAATGCAAAAACCTAAAATACCAACAACTGCTGGTTTTTAATAAACCAAGAAACAATAGCTGCCCAAACTATACCGTCACATACCTTATCTCTTCTTTTTCTCTTACAGTATGATGTGAAGCCTTCAGTTATAAATTGAGAAAAGTGATCTCTTTCTTGCTCCTGAAGATATAAAACCAGTAATAATTAATCCGCCAAAGTTCGATAAAACTGCAAAATTTGGGAGCAAGAGAAACATCCAGGAAGTGTCATCATGCCGCTATAATACATACTCAACACTGGACAGAGTCACAAAATACTGACGACCCACCAAAAGAGTTATATTAAGAAGTTAATTCAAATTGCTGACAATATTTTAATAGAATCAGAGAGAATAAATCAGCATATTGTAATCAAAAGCAAAACGAGAGAGAAAAAAAACTGTCCAACCAAATTAAAAGCAAGAAATCAGGAAGTGGTACAATAATTTAAGGAAGTACTACAAGTATGAGCAAATCTTCACGTATTAGTTACTGGCAAACAAAAATTAATGGAAAAAAAGGACTTTCCTGAATCAGTTTACTGGATTAGGATCAATATGCTTCTTCTACAGTAAAATGTTCAATAGAATTGTTAGCTTAGGCTTTCATCTCCTCATTTTCTCCACTAGTGTTCATTTTACCATTTCCCATGTTACTTTTCACAATCATAAGGCAGTCCTCTCTTGCATTGTTAGATCCAAAATAATAATAATAATAATAACAATAAAAGCCAATCCTGTTGAACCTATTTCCAAAACCTTAAATTTTTCTTTATTTTCTTTGTTTTCCTCCTTAAAAGCCTAATTCTATCATTTAATACTGCCTAGAGATTCCAGCATGCACATAATAAAGTATAGACACCTTCAGAACCTTCTATAACCCTCAATTAATTCATACACCCTAAAACAAGTATTCTGAAATATGATATTCTAAAACTACAACTTTGAAAGCCTTAAAAACATATGGTTGAAGCTTACCTAAATATGTAAAATATTAATAATTCATTGCGAACTACAAATGCTAAAGAGAATTAAAACCTTTCAGAATCAACAGTATTTCTTTGTTAAGGTCATTAAAACCCAAAGACATCAAATCAGCTTCTGATAAAATGAATAATCAGAGAAGCTAATGAGACATTATTTTTGGGGTTTAGCCTCTTATGTACCCAAAAAAAAAAATGAGACATTATTTTCAGCATGGTAAATTGAAGCAGATACAGTATGGATATATCCCAGAAATAAGAATAAAATAAATACAAAGTTATCATACCATATAATCTATGCACATTTGTCTGACCAAATCATACAATTCAGAATCCCCATACACCTGATCTGCAACAGCACGGAAAAGACAATTTCCATCCCCCATCATTCTTTTTACTTCATAACCTTTTGCCCTTCTGATATCAGTTTCAAACTGCCGCTCTCTTTCCTGGAACAGATGTCAATATCACTTCAAATTTTTAAAATATATGATATGATAAAGATCTCAGTAAAGGTTGTCAAGCAACAGAATTGCATTACAAAGGTTGACCTTCAACTTCAAATAGAGAAACATAACATGCAAGATTATACAAGAATACATTCTAACATCTGTAAGCAAGGCATCAAGATAATATCTCTAAGAAACCTAAGTATGAATGATCAATAATGACAAGTGTTTTATACAAATTCTATGCAACTTAATAAACTAACTACAAGATAATAGATTAATAGTATGTCTATGCTCTAAAAATATGAAAACCTAGTTGACAATTATATCAACATGATATGTCAATTATTTTGTGTCCATAACTCGGAAGAAATTCTAGAGGGATAATTAAATAATTGCTTCATTACCGTGGCTATTCTATTATAACATAGAGGAATGAACCAAATTATCTACCATATTCCTAACCAACCTCTTCTTATTATCAACTCAAACATCACGGCCTAAAAGAACCATGTAGGAAGATTAGTAGCAATATTGAAATCCAAAAGAACAGACAATATTTATCTACTTATTAACACTTGTGCAATCATCAACTTACAAATTCATCGTATGAGGAAACATAGCATGGCTTCTGTTCATCAGCACTATTGTACCCCTCACTTTCATTATGAGACCTGGGAGAAGAAGGCCGAGACCCAGCAGGCGAGGTCCTAGTCGAAACAGCAGGCCATGCAGATGCTCTCCCAGATGATCCTACAGATCCAGAATACGAAGTCCCTGACACATTCCTCCTCAAATTCAGGTTAGCAGCAGAAGGCTTTGGAGGCGGAACAGGAGGAGGAGGCGGACATGAACTACCACCACTACCAGGGAGAGAAGAAGGAAACCCACTTGAGCCCTCATTTTCTGAAACAAATCTTTCAGAAACTCTCACTCCACTCAATCCTTTCACTAACTCCCGCGGACACCCAAACTCCTCCTTAATATCATTCTCCACAACAGCTACCTCATCATCACACGAACCATCGTTCTGCTGCTCAAAATGACGACCACCAACCATCAAAAGGTCCTCACTCTTTACCTTATTACACTCACCACTCTCCAAAAGTTCATCCCCAACAACCACTCCCAGCACCTCCTCTGCACTCTCCTCATCTCTCAAAGCCGGTGGAGCCAAAACCTGCGGCTCAGCCCGCGCAGATGAAGAAGGCCCAGAAGAACGGCCCGAGTTAGGGTTCGAAGAAGAACCGCCAGATGAACCCCTTTGAACCAAGATACGAGTCATCGTAAGGCCAAAAACTTTGGCACTTTCGCAGTGAAAACTAGCTCGAGTTAAGAGTTTTAGAGAGCGTAAACCCTTGTAGAATTCATAGGTTTGTTGCGGGTTCTAGCCTTTGGGGCAGTGATGCCAATCCCTTTGCTGAACGAGTCCTTCCAGCACAGCGCCTTCAGCTCCTCGCAAAACGATCTCTGCATTCCCCTAACAATTCTCATCAGACCCAAACCTCCAAACTTTACTTTAAACAACAAAACCTTCTTTTGAGTATTCGAGTTTTACCAAAAAGAATTCCGCCGCCGAAAAATCAGTATCCTTAACAAAATCCCAATCTGCATAAGAATTTGGCAGAAAAATCAAAATATATAAGCATTTAATCGCAGGGATCCATGAAAACAAGAGGAAAACATATAATTCTAATTTCAATATTGGAATTTTAGAAAATGAAAAAACAAAAAAAAGAGAGAGAGAAAGAAGAACAAAAAAGGGGGAATGGAAGATGAAGTGTGTTGACTCAGAGTATCACCTGAGAATGAGAAAAAGGATTGATTAGGGTTTTCGAAAACGCAGAGCAGCGAACACCGAAGCGAGAAAACTCGAGAAGGAAAGGAAGGGGAGAGGTTGCAATTTAAAGGTGACGTTGTGTTTCAACAGCAACGACCCCTCCCTCGTCAACTCCTTACACGTGTCCAGTTTGCAACAGTTGACGCACGTGCAAGTTTATCATGTTACCGGTGAATTACCTGTACGATACCCGAGGGAAAAGAACAAAATCTTTGTCGCTGTCGTGGTTAATCGTTGCATTGGTGAATTAGTGCATACCTTTTGCCATCAAATTCTAAACGACACTGTGATGGTGGTATAAACATGAAGGAACAAAAAACAAAAAACACACTTGTCACGTGAATTATTAAAAACCTATAACATTCACACAAAATTTGTTAAATCAAAACTACACAAATTTTGATTAAATAATAAGTACATAATAGACAATTTTAAATACTTTTACTTCCATATTTTCTCAAGTCAAAGGAATATTAAATTTTTGTTGGTGCAAAGCATACTTCAACAACAGCAAAAAGACAAATTCATTATTCAACTTCATCACTCAATGTGCATTTTGTTTTTTCTCCACCGTAGAAGTTTCTATCATACCACTCTATACCAAGGAGAATATCTGTTGCGCGCACCAGCAAAAAATTGTCCCTTCCAATACAGAGAAAATCCTTACAGCTTTGTTCAATGCTGCATATGTCACGGATTTGATCTGCCAGATTTCTTTTGTAATTACACACAATTTTACAATTTCTTTTGTTTTGTATATTGAAATTGTTTCACCTATATATAAAACTTGTTTTTGAAATCGAAAGAAACGTATTTTTGAGGTTATATGAGGAAATCTTGAGATAGGACCATGTAATACATCTTAATACTAAACTTGTAATACATAGATTTCACAGAAAACATAAATCAGAAACAAATATAACAATATAAAATCAAAAAGAAATGCGGTAGTAAACGATGACATAGACGAATAGCTTATAACTCTCTACGAAAAACTTAAACCATTATCATCCTACAGAAAGCTTTTAGTTCAACATCTGCTTTGCAATTTTCACAGTCAATTCCATAATCATCGATATCTTCGTCCAATATCCACGGCGACCGTTGAATTAAAACTTTTGAGCAGTTTGCATCTGCTGGAATGGTAGAAGGATAGGTTATGTTTTGCAACAACTTTTCTACGCACCCACATAGATCGTATCATAGATTTGACATGGTTTCTGCACGTTTTTAATTTTCCAGAAGCATTGAGTGAAAGAAATTGATCAAATCCAAGGGTTCTTTGATCTGCATTTTCTGCTCACATCAAGAGCATGTTATACACGTACATGGCATCATCCTGACCATTCAGAGCAGCAGTCTTCAAGTTTTCAAAAGCCAAGGCGATGGAACTTGAACTTGATGTTTCTCTGAAATATTCAAGCATTCCTTCACGGTACATAATTTTAGGGTTGTTACTTTCCTTGCAACGCCTTAAGAAATATGCCTGTCGTTCTTTGTTGAACCTTTGTTCCGGTGTTAATTTCCACTCGAATACCTTTATCACATTCAAAGATCCTTCTTCATTAGGAGAAAGAACCTGTACATAATGACGAAATGGTTTTTCTGAATTGATCCATTCCAAAGGTTGCAATGCAAATTTTTCCAATGATGAATTATGATACACATAATCATGTTCTGCGACACGAAGAAACTCCTTGCAGGTCAGTTTGATGTAGGAAATATCTTCAATGGAATAAAAAGCCACCTTTGCAAATATATCCAATAGTAAATCTGTGGGTAGAGATTCTAGGGAAGGATTTTGTTGTTTTTTAGGCATTGCACAATTGGTAGAGGGAGAGTCTGCCATTGATCAATGGTTAAACAACAAAAAAGAAAAACAATGAAAAACACAAAGAAACCATGTTAGTATTTATTGTTGAAGAGAAGATGATTGATCAATGGGATGCACCAGTTGTTATGTTATGATTGTTAAGTTATGATTTCAAACATCAAACAACGTGATCCTTCGGTTTGTCATTTCATATTCCGTTACTTGTTGATAATTTTGATGAAGCATCCCAATGCTGTTCAATAAGTGTAATTAATACACATTAACATTGGAAGATGAAAAACTTTTGGTGTCCCAAATATTATAATTTGAAATGTAAATCGATGTTTCTTATTATTTCCCTCAAATATCGTAATCCAGAAAAGGATTCTTTAATAGACAGTTCCATTCCAACGTATATATGCATCGCTTCATTTTTGCTTCCATCAATTTTCCTTTGAATTGCATCGAATTCAACGTGATAATGATGAAGTAACATGACTATAATTAATAATGTGCAGGGAGGTGGAATGCAGAAAGCCATCTTTGAATAATGATGATTTAGTTCAACCATTGCATCAGAATCGCATTAATCCAGTATAGGTGCAATAATAATGAATGATGAATCGTTTTCTCTGCGCACTGTGAAATACTTACATCCTTCTGTAATTTTTATAAGGATTAGTTAAACGATGGTTAAATATATAAAACATAGGCTCTCGTGTATTATGTTAGTGACAATTTTTAGACAATTATTTCGAAGGATGAGTTTATCATCTCAGAATACATATTCATATATAAATGATGGTTAAATATATAAAATGTACACGAAAGTTAATCTGACATATTAAGCAAGGGAATGCTGAAGAACTATTCTATCTTGCTTCGAGACAACAGTAGAAATTTGATCCTATTCCTTGCATCCTTTGAAAAACACGGAAGGAATAATACAAAAGAAGGATTGCGAAACTGAGAAAACAGCGTACACCAACTAAATAAAATCGAACAATTGATTAGTACATTGCGTCACCAAGCATCATTTCAATCGAACGTTTAAACACATAAGAATCAGTTGCGATATCACGAAATTCCTTACAGGTTAGTTGGACATTGCAGATGTCACTGACAGTTTGAGAACTAACTCGTGCAAAAATCTCAATTAAAATATCATTCGACATACTTTGGAGGGTATTATTTCCCCCAATATCTTTGCGCATCCTCTTTCTCTGATTAGACTTCTTGGAGTGTTTTGAAGAAGTTGATTCACCCATATAACTAAAGTAGAAGTTTTTGAAATTCAAGAGATATTTTGACGTATGTTTGATTGTTTTTGACCCATATAAGTTGATTTACAACTCCTTGAACCACAATCAAGGGATACCTCAATATGTAAAACTTGGTCGAAGAAGAAAGGGATCTTTTGGTGTTCCGAAGGTTATAATTCGAAACGCAAATCGATTTGGTCGCTGAAACAAAAACAAAAAAAGAAAAGAAAAAACGCAATAACACACTTAAAATGGTAGAACCAATGAAATGAAATGAAAGCAGAGGCGAAAGAAAGTAGTGATAATAATACCTTCATCAGCACCCTTTTTGAGTTGAGCTGCTCTTAGTTGGCAGCAAATTAAGTGATAAAAACACAATATTGTCATTGGGAGTTGAGCATCGGCCAAAGGTAACCATTTTTGTTGGGGGAGTCGTTGATTTGATTGAATGAAAGAAAACTTCAAGAAAACATTCAAGTCAGATTCAATGAATCGTTCAGAAGGAAGAGAGGATAACGAAAAGGTTACCATTTTTGTGATTTGATTGAAGGGTGAGAATAGAAGAGAAGGGGCTAGGGTTTTTCACGGAGAAGAAAAGGTAAAGTTATACACTTCGTAATATATCCTATTTATAGGCAAATTAGTAATTTATTTTAAAAATTTTGAGTGCTTGCATAATACACTTCACCATTACCGATGCAGGAAATAGTGAAAAAGTTATACAGCTGTCTGCCACCAACGAAATTTGAATTTCAAATATTATCCCACCCTTTTTACATTTTTTTTTTTTGCAAAAAGTAAAAGATTTTCAAAAGAGGTAACTTTTCAAACTCTTCTCAAGTGTGAACACAAAGCTGAGAATGAAGGATAGAGCGACACGTCAACAAAGTTTCCAAGGGTTTAAGATTATATATATTAAGATACCTGCTATAAAAATGATAAATTGTCATATTTGTTTTTTTTTTTATTATTATTTTTCTTGATTGAATAAAGGTTAATTATGCAAAAACAAAGATGATATTACACAAATGTTTTAGGCCAACTAAAGCTAATCTGATTCTTACAACTATTATTTTATAATTAGTTATTGTGAAAATTTGAAAATAATGGGAATTAAAATTGCACATGAAAGTTTACGCCCCCCTTCTCCCCAAAAAAAAGTGCACAAGAAATATTTTTCACAAACCATGTTGTATATAAGATGGGTATGACCCGGCTTTTTAAAAAATTTAAATAAAATAGCATAATAAACTTTTGATTTCCTTTTTTATCTTTTTCTCTCTGTTTTTATTTTAGTTTTAATTTTAAAATAACTTTTTATTTTAGTTTAGCATAATAAATATTGATAGTAATATTATTTGGTAGTAATAATATCATATCCCTTATAAACAAACCCATACCAAGCATATTTTTTTAGTTGACCTGGGTGTTTAGTGTGTACATGACAACCTTTCCAGAATTAGATTTTTTTTTCAAATTTTTATTCGCGAGAACAGAAGTGGATAAAAATAGCGTTTGACAAAATCAGTTTGTTTTTTTGTTCCTGAGAATGAACAGGTTCAATTTCTGTGCTAGGGAACAGAAAAAGAATAAAGAAATTCTACATTTTGTTTTCGGACACAAAATGAGAAACACTTGTCTCTCTCAATCACTTTCCACCACTATTCTGAAACGACCACTGCCACCATCGCCTCTGTCGTCATACCACCACGGCTGTCGTCAGACCACCACCACGCCACCGCAACCACTATCATCGTCGCAGCCACCGCTGTCACCATCATGACATTACCATTTATCACCACCATCGCTGCAGTCATTGCTGTCACCACCACCACCACTGTCGTCACCACCGCCGTCACCACCACCACCACCACACTATATAAAAAGGAAAGTGATAATTCAAAAAAAAATTTATGTGTAATAGCAATGATTTTTTTTTCCTATTATTTGTTGTGTTATCAAATACAAATCTCATTCTCGGACTAAAAATAAAACAGTTTATTAAACACATTTTTTTTCTTAAAAACTATTCCAAGGTATAGATATAAAAAAACATTGTTTCTTTTCAGAAATAGTGTTAAGGAACAGAATGCTTGTCGTGAGCATACTTGGTAAAAGAGAAAAAATTATCCAAAAATTATGATTTCGAGAATATGGTAAAAAAATGAGTTTCTCAATAATGTTATAAAAAAATTGTTTGGTAAAAAAAAATATTTCCGAGAATATTAAATTAATTTTTCTGATACTATGTTTGATTGATGGTAAAATATTAATGAAAATGTTGGATGATTTTAGAAAAATGACCCCCACTTCTTTCTTCGATCTGATCATTCGAAAAAAATTAAAAATTTCAACAACCGTCATTAAGCTTGCTCCACAGTGACAACTGACAACAATCTCAAAACGATTGACCAAAAAAAAATTCAAATTTTAACAATCTCAAACGATTGACAACAATCTCTTCTTCAACTTTACTTAAAGCCATGTTGAAATCATGAAACCCCATTTCTAGAACAATCCTCCATGATTAACAAAAAAAAAAAAAAACGCCAATCTTGGTTCCAGCAGAGATGTCATGCAAAGCATAAAAAATGAGAGTGACAAAGAAAATAATCACGCAACTCAAGACAAAGCCTAAGATAGTATTTTTCTTCAGGAACTCAAAGCACATACCAAAGCAAAAAAACCAAGAAACAGAGGAGAGAACAAAAAAACAAAAGGAAAAAACATGAATCTTTCTTATGTGGGTCTTCCGCGAAAGACCCAAGAAACCCATAAAACAGAGAGATTATAGGTGGTTTCTGGAGTTAGAATAGTACAGTGTGTGTCCATTGGTTCGGAGAAGAACAAAGATCCATAGGATTTCGCAGGTAACCTTTCCATCTGTCAAGGGTAATTTTGTCCTCAAAACAATTGTAAAACTTTATATCAAATTTGGATAAATAAGACACTTGGAAAAGTTATAGTTACTACTTTTATTTTTACAACATCTTACAATTAGGGGTGTTAACGGGCCAAGCCTAGCCGAGGTTTGATCTTAACGGGTCAAGCCTGTATTTAAACGTGTCAGACTGACCTTAGCCTGTTACCTGTTACGAATATAATATTAAATATAAAAGCATGTCTCAAGTCTGTGGCCTGTTTATTTATTAAAAATAAAAACCTTACCTTCCAATTTGTAGCAGTATTTAGCCCATTAATCATGCACTGATATGTATTTTTTTGTCAGAAAATAATAGTTGTTTCTTTTATAATAAAAAAACATTAATATTAAAAAATCAAAATAACAACAGCACCTTTACTTTATTTTACGTTGTTTTTCCTTAATTTTCTTCTACATTCTAGATTTTTTACATTAAATTTTCTTCCACATTCCTTAATATTCTAGATTTTTTACACTAGATTTGAACCCCACCAATAAATTTTCTTCCACGGTCGCCGCCATAAGCATCATTATAAGCCGTGGAATCCGCATGGCTTATAAAAATAGATGATGAACATGACTTCATTTACTTGTTGGTGGGACGATGAGTTAGATCGGGGAGAAGAGATAGAGCAGAGACAGAAAACTGAGAAAATGATGTTGAAATGATTAATATAAAAATATAAAAATAAATAAATTTAATGTATACGGGCCAACCTCCAAGGCTTCAAGGCCGAGCTTGGCTCTGGAAGCCTGATGCCTTTTAAATAAAAAGGCTTTTGCATGAGTATAAGTCTGGGCTTAATAATAAAAAAAGACGAGCCGAGCCGAGCCGAAACGGGCCGGGCCTAAGGCCCCTGGCCTTATTATCACCCCTACTTACAACCATATATCATAATTGTTGATTTTCGTCAATCAACGTTATGATTTTCACAAATTAAATTCATTAATTAAATGACAATTGTTAATTAGTAGAAATCAACGGTAATGATATATAATTATAAGAGGTAATAAAAAAAAGTTGTAATTCTTCGGGAAGATAACTAGTATAACCTTTCCCTTCCATAATCTTAAAAACTTCCCCCTGCCAAATACCTTTGGCACCACCCAAAAGGCAATCGAACAATCAAATTATTACTCTTTTTTAACCAAAAAATACTCTCTTTTTTCTTGTTTCACAAAAGTTTTTCATATACTTGGTGCAATATATATCCCTCCGATCTTGGTGGAATACCAACCAAGCATTTAACACCCCATAAAATTTGAGTTAAAAAAAAAAACAAAAAACAAAAAGAGTGTTTATAAGTTAGTTTAATAACATTACATTATGTAGTTCTCTCCTACTTTAGAGTGAATCAAGCTTCATACTATCTTCTTCGGTTGAAACCGCATAGCATGAATAACATATTGGTGGCATTTTTTTTTTTTTTTTTGGTAGAAACATATTGGTGGCATTTAATTGCCAAAGATAATGTCAAATTAAACTGCAGATAATGAATAGAAAGAAAATGATAATACAGGACAATTTCAACTCAATTTTTTTTATTCATCTCATTCTTTAAAATGCCAAAAACATACCAACTACATTTTACAAGCCGCAATCATACGCTTAACTTTATATTACAACTTAAAAAATTGGTATGGTGGAAAATTACAAGCGGATCTGTATTTCCTATTCGTGATATGAATGAAATATTATGTTCTGTAAATATCTTCCAAAGAACAAATGGTTACCTCCATTCAGAAAAATAAATAAAATCGAAAAAAAAAGTAATATGTCAACTTCAAATTGCATTCTATATCTTCAGTTTCCAACCTCGGGCAGCAAGCGCTTCATGAACCCGTTTAGCCGCATCAGCAGTATCGTTAAGGGGTGGATAGCTCCAACTTTCTGATATCTGAAAATTTTAAAAACACATACACATTACAAAACATACTTACTTGACAATATATGTAACTCCAGAACAGACATCCTTCTTCCTCAATAATATTCAATCCTTGTATTTGATACAAAACTCATTGAGAGTTTTACTTACATCCTCAGAGCCTGTAAAAGGCCGAACAACTCCAAGCTCTCTCAATGATTTGTGGAATTCTGTGAACTTCCATCTGCAACGCTCAGCTCCCACAACGTAGACAGGCTTCCTGTGGAAAGAACAAAATAATTTAACAATAAAACATAATATTAAACACTTGTATCAAGAGAAAGAAAATAAAATTATTCTAATCACAGAAATACTTCTTCACAAGCATACCCAGTGCTGCAAGCTTCACTTATCATGCTAACTGAATCTGCTGTGACAATGAATGCATCAGCCCAAGCTAGAAGGCCCAGGTGCAGGTTCGGTCCTGAATGTTGTGAATTACTGTCAGGGTTTAAGCACTTATTATCTATTAAAACAAATTTTAAATATTTGAATAGATAATCTAGTTGAAACCTGAATAAAATATTTACCTTGCCCATCCCAAATAATATAAACTTTAGGGTTATTCCCAAGTTCGTTCACTATAATATTGGACACCTGTTAAAAAGACCAAAGAGAGGGAAGAAAGTGTGTCAGAGATGGAAAGCAAGGGCTGTTAAGTGATATTACTTTAGGAAACTTTAAGGTATGACTATACCTTTTGTGGAGTCCTTTCTGAAAAGGATATTCGCACACTCCCACAACTAACAAGAACACTGTGCAAAGAGGCTGCTAATTGCTTTGCTAGGTCTACACCATATCGACAGTTGCCTAAATCAATAATGGAAATTAGTCAGGTTACCGATTTTGTTTGACCACTGAATCTATGAAATGTAAATATTTTTTCTCTTTGACCACTGAATCTATGAAATGTAAATATTTTTTCTCTTAAGTTTTAGTGGCATTTTAAATGATTAAATTCACATTAGAAATTACGTGTTGGTCCTCCAATGTTGACAACCAGCAAGGGCCTGGGAAATCGTGCAAACTCATCATGCCAAGTAATGGCTGCACTACGTATTGAAGTGAAATCTATTTGATGAAGGGCTCCCATGGTGAGAACCTGAACGTACATTACCACATAACAGTCTCAGCAATTGACAGTGGCCAACAACAAAGTTAAATCAAAGTTTCTCCAGGAAAGCAAAAGTTATTTAAACTAATATGATATACACATTATGCATACCACATGACTATCTGGAGGATCACGTGGAGTTATCCAACTTCGAAGGAACCTAGGAACCTGTTTCTGTCCTTCTGGAGTCAAAGGATAATAATCATGCTTAGGCGTAATCACCAAGTCAAACCTATTCAAACGTAATCTTGGATGTTGTATCTGCCCATGTGACAAAGACAATCAAGGAGACCAAGATTAGAAATCATAGCTGATGTTTTTATGTTGTAATGAACATCAGAACAAAATTCAAGTCCAATAGCACAGCACCAAGCAGATGAGTAATTAAACATATACAGAGCCTACGAGCAGGGGATTCATTTCTTCATAATAGGATCTCATAGCAGTAAGCCAGTAACTATGTTACTTTAATACAACGACACAATGCAACCACAACCAATATCACAACTACAATTTAAAACCTTGAATGAGATAAAAAGAGAAGTAAAGAAAATAAAGTAAAAGACAGAGAAGTTCATTGGGGAAAGAGAGCATTGAAGTAGCAAAGTGTTCTCAGGATTTCCTAGCAAGATCATGCCAAGGAATTCTAAAACTAAACTGCTTTAAAGATTGAAAGTAGACATGGAGAATTTCCAACCTATAAAGTAGTTTGCCCAAATTGTTATCTGGTTGTCTCTTGCATCTGTGTGGATATTCAATTCTAACAAATTGTATCAGAGCTATGGAGAAAAAGAGCGAGTTAGAGGTGCCACTCTTCCATGGAGATAAGGATGAAGCATTAGATTGGCTTCTCTGTTTGAAGGAACATTTTCGGAAAGAAAAAATCTGGACGGAGGACAAATGGCAGGTAGCCATGAGAAGACTCAGAGGAAGCGCAATCAAATGGTTCCGTACATGGAACTGCCGCGACTTTAATAATATGTGGAAGGATTTTCTAATAGCCTTTATAGCAAAATATCTACCTGGACGGTTTGATCTGATTGATGAAGAAGAAGATGAAATCATCAATGATGATGATGAAGATGAGGAGAATCATGCGGATGAAGAAGAGACCGAGATGGAGGAGTCTGAGATTGCCAACGGCAACGTATCCGCGAAGAAGATCGACGCGTTGGAGCGTGAGAGAGATGAATCAGAGAAAAAGACGATGATTGCGGCTATGGGAGCCGAGATCAAAGACGCTGAGAGCGGCGAGTCAATTCAGAAGCCGGATAGAGAGGATAAGGAAGAAGACGAGATGTCGAAGGAGCTTGAGAAGCCAGCAAAGGAACGAGAAGCGTGGAATCCGAGATGCTTGATGGAGACCGGCTTGGAGGAGACTGCGAATCCGAGTCTCATGTTGATAACCGGGATGGGGGAGATCCCGGCTAAATCACCGAGTTCATGTTTTGGAAGAGACTTCGACCCCGGCGTGACGAGGTCGACGTCGGCGACCGGCATAGGTCGCTGGTTCGAGATGCCATTGAGGAGGTGCAAGGAAGACGGCAATGAAGGAGCCGAGAACGGAGAAAAAATGGAAGGTGCATTTGAAGAAAAGGATGTGGTCTTGAAGAGAAAAAGAGGTTTTGTTGACAATACCAATGATGCAGAAATTGGGATTGGACGAGGAAATAAAATTGTGAAAACAACTGATGAAGTGGCGAATGAAACTGAGAAGAATTTGGGTGACGAGAAACTTGCAGGTGAAGAAGATACAGCGAATGGAAACAAGGAAAGTCCTGCTAATGAAACTGAAAATATCAAATTGAAGAAGCCACCGGATAAAATAAAATATGTTCAGAAAAATAATTGCAGGGGAGATATTTTCTTTTTGAGTTAATTAAGTTGGAAGGTGTTAGATGTTTCTTGTCAGTGATCAAGATTGAAGAAAACAAGCGCGATCAGAAAGTTGAAGAAAACAAGAAGCAACGCGAAGAAAGAAAGAAGAATTTAAAATTTATGGGGAGTTTTGTAGGGATAAATTTTAAATGTCCGTTTTTTAGCAGTTTTGGTTTTTTAGTTTCTTGTGTCAGTTAGAATATTAATGAGTCAGTTATGTCAGTTAGAATATTAATGAGTCAGTTATGTCAGTTATAAAGTAATGAGTTGTTATGTGTGGAGTTATGTTTGTCAGTTTTATAGCTTATAAATAGCCTTTGATAGTTTGTATGAAATGTAGATCAAGTAGATCAAGAGAAAAAGAAAAAGAGCAAGAAAGCAAGAATAGAAAAGAAAAGTTTTTTTTGTAGATACACAAGTCTGGTTGTCTCTTGCATCTGTGTGGATATTCAATTCTAACAACAACTCCCACTTAATGTCAATCACCAGCTGAAATTCATCCTTGGTTTAAGGCATTAAGCCTATTCTTTTTAATTCACCTCTGAGTTTTCAATAAAACAAAAACCAACTAAAAATATTGGATTTATATAGCATTATTGGAATTGAATCATACTCATTATCTTCATAAATCATTGCAACAAAAACACACTGGTGCTAGTAAATTGTTGTCCCAAATTTTTGTGTGCACACTCAATAATTGCTTAATTTACAAGATATCATAGCATACTTGGATAAAAGAAAAATATGCATTAAGTCTGCAGACCTGAACAACAAAAACATTCTCAGATGCAAAACGTTTTATGGAACTTGCAGTAGAAATGGTATCTCTTCCAGATGCAACCACCAACAAAGGTCCCTCCCTGGATAAAACATCAATCATATCCTTCTTTGTTAGTGGCCAAAGAATTAGGTGATGAAGAATATACAAGAAAGAAACCATAGAATGCAGGAAGTACAAGAACAAGAATCAGGATTCATATTACATCGATATGAGAATCAGAATGCTGATTGGATTTGTCTAGTAAATCAATTAAAATGTCAGAACATTAATTTTTATCTAACATGATGAACTGGAAATCTTTTACAAGTTTTAGTAGCTGACTTAGTTGTATAAATTAATCATTTACAAGGAATAAATTGTCAAGTAATTTACATCAAGCCACACATTTCTGTATCATATGTCACATAACATATTAAATAGAACTAATTGATTTATAGGTAATTAGGTACCCTGCTATGTTTAGAGGAAGTTTATCATTCTGAACAAGATTATTAATGGCAAAGACACACAGGCATTTAAATCTGTCTTCATCAAGAAATGAACATAAAGCTCAGCCAAGCTATACGCATCATTTGACAGTATAAGTCAGTTTTACAACTAAAGAATAGGAATAAAATTTACTTCTCATAAGTTTCCCGAGCTAAATTCACAATCTTCATTACATCAGCTTCTAAGACAACTGACAAGCCTGCGCTGTCACCATTTTCTGAAGGTAGAGACATAGGCTTCTTTTCTTGAGATTTGAACAGAAGCTGAGAATAACTGCCGATCATTCTTACTATATAATATATTTTATTATGGAGAGAAACTGGAAGCCATTGAAGCCACTCATTAGTTCCACCTCTTGGCCTGCGAACCCGCTGCAATAAGCCAGTCATAAAATGATGAGCAAACTCATTCAGCTATTAAGAGGTACTTTCAATTTTGACATGATGAAATATAATGCTTTTTAAAGAAGGAAAATTTGAGTCCTGAAAATTATTAAGAGATAGCCTTCGCAATAAACCCAAAGCCCACATAACAGCACAATTTGATTCAAAATAATGTCATATGAGAATGCACCAGCTGGACTCTAAGTAATGCTAATTGCAATGATAATATCACATTCAATTCCTTTCATTTAAAAAAAATTCTCAAATGAGAGAATATTTACTTCAAATGAAAAACTTAACCTCCTTTCCCTTTCCCTCCAAACATACCCTAAATGGAAAAACACCAAACTGTGATATAAGGCATGTAAGGATACAATGTTAATCACATGCTATACCAACAAAAATATGGAAATATACAATTTAGTATAATAATACTGGTGGAAATATGACAGGAACCAGATATTCTATTACAGAGAAAGAGGGATAAACCCCAATTCACAATGATCAAAGTCTCTCAAAAACAACAAAAAGAAAGTTAGAACATTGCAGAACTTTGAGGATCTACAAACCTCCCTGCCCAAAGGCCCCAAAACTCACTCATGTCTGGATGCCTCTCTCCCCTACCTTTCCCAGCCACATAGGCAAGGTTGTTATAATTCAAATCCCTCTACTACCCCTACTAAAAAATCCAACATGGTCTGAGACTCCGAGTGCCAAAACAAAATATCATTGTGACTCTTCCCAGAAAATCTTCAATAGGGAGGAACTAACATCACAAAAAAAAAAAAAAACTCCTTTCTCAATTTAGAACTATGTTTCTAAACTACACCTACTGTCCAATATCACTTGGATAAATCCTCCTTCATTTACCCATATATAGATGCAGGTTCCCCTTCAATTATTTCCTCGCCCTTTTAACTGTGCATTTTATCTTGTCTACATTGGGCAAAATCTTTCTCTCAATTTATCTTCTAACAACACCACTCTATGCTTGAATGGTTAAAATTATCATTAAAATATGGGTAACTTTTTTTTTTCATTATCAATTACCATTATCAATTTCATCAATATGATAACAATAATTCCAATTATCATTTTTTTTCGATATGCAACTTTTCCCTTTATTTCCAATAAACACAAAACCCACATAACAGCACACGTTGGTTGCAGATAATGTCACATGAAAATGCACCAGCTCGACTCTTTAAGTAATGCTTATTGCAATGATAATATCACATTTGATTTCCTTTCATCTTAAAAATTCTCAAATAAGAGAATATTTACTTCAAATGAAAAACTTACCCTGCTTTCCCTTTCCCTCCAAACATACCTTAAGGGCTTGTTTGGTGCACAGGGTAGGATAAGAACGGATAGGATAACAGGGCTGGATAATGATAGGATAGGATGAGTCTGATAAGCTCATATCTTATCCTATGTTTGATATGCACTAGATAAGCCGTCTGATAAGATTATAGTATCCTATTATGAGTTTGATATGAATTAAATTGCATCAGGATATGCTTTAAATAGACAAAAATACCCTCAATAATAGATTTTCATATTTTTTTTATTTGATTTTTAAAATTCTTTTTTAATTTATTTATACATTAGTTCCTATTTTAATTTATTTAAAAAATTTAAAATTCATTATTTTAATAAAATATATGAAAAATACATAAAATAACCTGCATTATTTTTTAAAATAAAAAATCATATATCTGCAAAATATAATGCAACAATTTTTGGCTTGAACCCCCTTACAATTTTTCTGTTTACCACATTTTTCTTGACAAATAACTGGCTTGCTAAGAAAACCAACAATATCACCACACTTCGATCACTGCAAGCACCATTATATTGACGTAGCTCACTTATTTGAAGTACCTGCAGAATAATACACCATGGATCACTTGACTACTTGATTTAATCCATGATTCTGCTTTGAATAATAAAGGGGAACCCCCACCTAATCCATCAATACTGCACTCAAATGGGAGGCAACTTTGACATTTAGCTTTATTCTTTAGTTGATGATAATTCAACACCAGCCTCCAATTTCCTGAATCCAAGGATCTGTAATTTTCAAGCTCAATCTTCAGTTTAGTGATTTCTTCTTCTGAAAGTCTTAACTTTTCATTCACTATCACCAGTTCTTGTTCATATGCATTAATTTAGGCATAAACATCTTCAGTATTATCATTTCTTGCCCCCTAGATAAAAAAACCTCTGCATGTTCCTCTTCTTGCATCCATGGCTTTTCTTTTACCTCATGGTGCTCAGTTTCCAACTCCATTATTCTTCCTTTCATCCCCGGATCACCACCATTCCCTAAGAAACCTGAATAATTGTTGACTGACGAGTCATCGGATTCCTCCTCGGAATCTGTCAAAGTAGACGACTCATCTCCATCCTTTTGGTAATTGGTATACATTAGAACCATTTCCTCCCCCCCCCCCCCCCCTGAGCCAAGAAAGAAATCAAACCCGACAGCTCAATTGCTAGAGTTACGGCCGCTCCCATTCAATGGAGAGGGCCAAGTGGAGGATGGTTCAAATGCTTTTGCTAGACCCTCATTCACTGCTTCAAATCATCGAAACTGTAGACATCCTTCAGCGAATCCTTCAAGTACTTTGGATACTCCGCCGCAGCAGTAGCATTTTCCTCACCAACTTTGATAGCAGTCATCACGCAACCACATCTTCCTTTGTTGCTTCGGAGTTCATGTTACAGTCCAATTGCAAGGTATGGGAGTTGGAGTCCCACGTCGAAAACATAAGGTTATGGTGTGTGATTTATATGGACTTTGGGCTCTCCTACCTCATGGGCTAGCTTTTGGGGTGATGCTCTTCCAAGGTTCGTATCAATTGGTATCAGAGCCCTCCACTATGTTTCCTAGTTGCAATCGAGTAGCACGGATGGTGACGTTGGCATTGCAGTGTTCGTCCTGGGCTAGTAAAAAAACTAGCGCAAAGCCAGCCCACGTGGGCGTCAGAGCTGTGAAGTGTGGTTGAATGTTACGGTCCAATTGCAAGGTATGGGACTTGGAGTTTCACATCGGAAACATAAGGTTATGGTGTGGGGTTTATCTGGACTTTGAGCTCTCCTATCTCATGGGCTAACTTTTGGGGTGAGACTCTTCCAAGGTTCGTATCGATTTGCCAGGTGGAATCAACCCCGACAATGATTTCGGGGCCGCTGTCTCTCTTGCCCTTGGACGTCGGAGTGGCATCACCGATGTGGACACCGGCAATAGACAAGTCGCAACCGCAAGAGGCAGGGTTTTCGAGCAAGAAACTAAGCCAAACAGTGATGGACTTGGCTAGGGATTTGAGGGATTACTCCTTGATTTGGGCCATTTTGGAAGACTGAGACTGCTCTGGTTGGAAGGCCTTGAGATTGTGGGCGGGTGGTAGCACCTGACTTCTTGGTGTGGCGGTGGATTGTTTGGATTTGGAGGTGGTGAAGTATTGACTAGAGAAAGATTAGGAGCTGAGAGATAGAGAAAGATAGGGTCTTTTAGCGGTTCTAAAATTGGAGATGTCTTTGAGATTTGTCAGTTACGAAGGTCGAAGGGGGAAAGGGAGAAGAGGATAGATAGGCTTGGTTGGAATAAAATGAATTTATTTTTTTCTATCCTATCCTCTTGGAGGGTAACCGAAGCCCCACCTTTAGGATAAGTTATCAGGCTTTCAATAGGATAAAATGAGCCAACCTGATAACTTTATCCTATCTTATAATTTCACCAACAATTGATTAGAACAGGATAAGATAAACTATCGTATCATGTCTTTCTTATCAGGTGCTCCAAACGGGCTCTAAATGGAAAAACACCAAACTGAAATATAAGGAATGTAAGGATACAATGTTAATCACATTCTATACCAACAAAGATATAGAAACATACAATTTAGTATAATAAAACTGGTGGAAATATGATAGCAACCAAATATTCTATTACAGAGAAATAGGGACAAACCCCAATTTACAAAGATCAAAATCACTCAAAAACAAGAAAACAAAAGATAGAACACCGTAGAACTTTGAGGTTCTGCAAACCTCCTTGACCAAAGGCCCCAAAACTAACTCAATGTCTGGATGCCTCTCTCCCCTACCTTTCCCTCCTTTTTATCTTTGCTTCTAACTATTTCCATTCCTTCACACCCTCCTTGCCACATAGGCAAGGTTGTTACAATTCAAATACCTCTACTACCCTTACTCAAGATTCCAATGCGATCTAGCATAAGAGTGCCCAACAAAATACCATTGTCTATCTCCCCAGGAAATCTTCATTAGGGTTCAATCGACATCACCAAAAATAAGTACTCCTTTCTCAATTTAGAATTATGTTTCTAAACTACACCTACTATCCAATATCACTTGGATAAATGTTTGATGATTTACCCAAATATAGATGCCATTTACCCGCTCTTTTAACTGCGCATTTTACATTGTCTACGTCGAGCAAAATTCTTTCTCTCAACTTATCTTCTAACACCACCACTCTATGCTTGAGTGCTTCGTATGTTCAAATTTCCCCCTATTGGTGTTCACATTCCAATTTATCTATTGCCAACATTACATACTATAGTAATTTTAAGAAGAATAACCTTCAATTCAGTCCCTAAAAGATATAGCGGAAATTATACTAGATTCTAAAAGAAGAAAATTATCACACAAGTCCTTAAAATATACATTTCATCGGTCAAATGAATACCTGCCGCCATCAACTCAAGGACTAAATTTGATCAGCAGAATGCATATTTCAGTTAGGAGACCAATAAAACCAATGCTATATCTTTCAGTGACTAACTTAGCAATTCACTCTTTAAACAAATCATACCGTTATCCACATATATGTGATTTCTCATTCAGGTCAAATTCAAAGATCAAAACTACTTGTTTCACTTAGTAGCAATGTTATAAGTGTGAAGAACTAGTTGCAAGAAAAGGAAAAGAAAAAAAAGGAGAGGGGATATATTCGTACATATAAGATATGCTTATCTGAGAGGCCAAGGGCGCGAACCAATCCGATGCTCTGATTCTCGGAAGCGGGGAAACCGTTTCCGATGACGATAGCGCGTCTAACGAAGGTGTGAACACCAGATTCGAAGATCTCAGGAGTACCCCTCAGGCCGGTAGGGCTTGGCGGCTCAGGAAGCTGAATTGGTCTCATCGGTTGAACTTTGAACACATACAACAAAATATGCTCACCACTTTTGAGTTCAAGAATATCAAGCACGAGTTTTCTCGGGAAATCGAGAGAAGAATAGCGTGTATTAGATTAGAATTTAAAAAAAATAATAATTATTTGAGATAATTTGTTTTATAGATTTTAAAATACTATTATAAAAAAAATTAAGATTTCATAAAATTGAATTTTAAAGGATTTTAATAGAATTTATAAGATTTGAAAGGACAATATGAATTTATAAGATTTGAAAGAATAATATGAATTTTTAACAAACATTCAAAATTACAATAGTCAATAAAAAAAGGAAAAGTTATATTTACAATCTATTTTTATTTATAATCTTTTACAACCACATCTTAACCGTTGATTTCCGTTAATCAACGGTTATCATTCATTGGGAATTAAATATTAATTAATGAGTTTGATTTGCGAAAATAATAACCGTTGATTGACGAAAATCATCAATTAAGATATGGTTGTAAAATGTTGTAAATAAAAATAGGTTATAAGTATAACATTCCCCATAAAAAAACAAAGAAAGGCAATGAAATTAATAATAAAAAAAACTTAATATAATTTTCTTAATCAGTAAAACATAATATAATTTTTAACAAACATTCAAAATTACTAAACAACAACTTTTCACAAATCTAAAGTTATACTAGTCCTCCATGCATTAGCATTTTCTCGTTTATGCTCTTGGGTTTGACCAATGAGTTGAAAATTATCTTCTTCATTTGGTATCAAAGCTATGCGTATATGATTATAAGACCAATTTTTTTTTTTAATTATTAAAACAATTCTAAATTTGCATATAGAACCTAAAGTTCATAATAAAATTTCGTTTGAAATTTTTTACAATTGATATTAAAAATCTTGGGGTTTTAATTCTACGTGATGAGAGTTTTCTAACCATATATCATTGAATATTCTAAGAAAATTTCGAATCTGAAGAAATCTCAAGAAATCCTAGGGTTATGGTGAGATTGTAAGAGAGACATTCTATTTATATTTCTTACTAAAATGTCTAACGAAATCTACACCAATAAAAAATCCATTAAAATCGTTAGATTTTTGAATATCACAAGATTGGTTTTCCATTGTTTAAAATCTTGATTGAATACCAATGGATTTGGATGAACTCTAAAATAATCTTTTAAAATCCTAATCGAATACCACGTGATTTTTTTTCAATCCATTAAAATCCTAATTGAATATCAATGGATTTTTTTGTCCAAAAATAATATATTAAAATTCTTTAAAATCCCAACCAAAAAAAATCTTTGATTCCAGCGAAAGGGGCAAAACCTTGGTGGCTGGGACTGGCAACTAAAAACTTTGCAATAGAGCATATATGCTATTATGAAGAGAGAAAAATCCCTTCTAAAAGAAACTGAACGACGAAGAAACTTAATATCTTGACCTTAAGTAGTATAAATTTTACGTTTCGTGTCGTTTCTACGATTTACGTTTCTACCACCCTTTTCGTTTCTACATAAAAACTCGATTTTGACAACATTAGTATCAAGGATTACAAAGTCATGGATCGTGCTAGACTTGTCGTGAATTCCTTAATTTAAAATTTATTATTTATTATTATTTTATCGATATTACTACTACTTTGCTTTATCTTATTTTAAGAGAAAGGAAAAAAGAAAAAAAACGGAAAAAGAAGAAAAATTAAAAAGCCCTGTTTCTTCAAAATAACCCATGTTTGATCTAGCCCATAATCCAAGCCACAAATGCTCATGACCCAATCCAATTCATAATAAAAGTATGAAACCTAACCCTTTTTTTTGGTAGTGCTCTCTTAAACCATCGGTGACCCACGACCCAATCTAATTCATAATAAAAGTATGAAACCTAACCCTTTTTTTTGGTAGTGCTCTCAACGGCCCGTTTAGGCTAACCCCTCATTGTAACAATGGGTGCACTAAGCTTCGCAACCGGAGAAAGGACGAGACTAATCCTCCAACCGAAGATTTTTGGCTTATCCTCTAGCCCCCAAAGATTTTCCAAGAAACTGCTTGAAGCAGGGTTTGATCCCTGCACCAAGCAATCCCTTGGGAGCTCAGCTGCCAACTGAGCTACCCTTGGGGGTTGGTAGTGCTCTCTTAAACCATTGGTGACCCACTGTAATTTACATAATTTGCGTAGGTTACCTTTTAATTTTGAGGGATTTCTTTTTATTTATGCTTCCCTTTAATTTTTGGGATGATTTTCGGGATGTGTATTCCCACGAGCAAGGGATAAATGAGACGTACCCATATTTTTTGAAAGATAGTTTGCTAGATGTAAATCTTCATGAACAAGAATTCAAGGGATATATATCCCCGTGAAAAGAATTTTGCGGGATCATGCCTTGATGACTTTGAAAATTTATGATGCATATCCTCATGGAAAGAAGTTTGCAGGATCATACTCTGATGATTTTGAAAGTTTGCGAGATTACTTTGAAAGTTCGAGATGAAATTTTTTTTACAGGATCATACCCTAGTGACTTTGAAAATTTGCGGGATGTGTATCCCCATGAAAAGAAATTTGCTGAATCATAACCCCCTAACTTTGAAAATTTGCGAAATGTATATCTCCACGAAAAGAAGTTTGTGGGATCAGACCCTGATGACTTTGAAAGTTTGGTGGAAGACTTTGAAAGTTCACGGAATGACTTTGGAAGTTTACATGATGTTTATCCCCAGGAAAAAAAGTTTGCGAAATTATACCTCAATGACTTTGAAACAGGATCTTACCTTGATGACTTTGAAAATTTACAGGTCGACATTGAAAGATTGCGTGATGTATATCCCTGTAAGAACCCGCACCGTTAATTAAGGAATTTAATTAATAAATTATGAGAAAATAGGAAATGATTCCGTAATTAACCCTAATAATTATTATGAGGCTTTAATAATTACAGTAAGTGATTAAGAATGCTGAAAGTCATTTTTCGGAAGAAAAGTGCAGATACCGCTTCTGCTAGTCCGTATAAATGTGTACCGAAAAAGTATCCCAGAAAATTATAATAAGTGCATGATAATTACTAGAATAATATGTAGGACTTTTAAAACGAGTTTCAAGTCCAAATAATGAGAACTGGTGCTAGAAACTGGTACTGGCTTTGAAAAGTGCGTACCGGAAAGGTGCTCCAAAAATTATAAGAAAAATATGATAATTCTTATAAAATTGAGTAGGTTAAGAATCCAGAGTTTGGGATTAAAATGCTAAGCGTAGCAATTAAAGCTAATACTGTGTGTTTGAAACTTAACCGCCTATATAAGCCTTAGGTGAGGGCACAAAACCCTAGAAAACAGACTCCTACGCATGGAGGGTGGCTGACCAGATTTTTCAAACACTGTTTTTGGCTTCTCTTCTCCATTCTTGAGGCTTGAAGCCATTTCCTTTCAATTCTCTTCTCTTAAACACTTGGTGTGAGTGAGAGTGACCTTAGGAGAGTGTTGGAGGCCTTATTTCTGAGTGTTGGGGGCTGTTTTGTGGTTGTGAAGAGGCTGAGTTGGTGGTTTGTGGTGTTGGAGCTTTCTCCTTGGCTTGTGAGCTTCAAAGTGCCAACCTTTGTGAAGAAAGGACCCTTCTTGGTGTGCATTTTCGTGCACAGTGTTGAGACAGAACCATTAGGAGTTTCTTGTGAGCTCCAAGAGCCTTCATTCTGAGTTTGAGCTTGGGTAAGCTTCATCACCTTTGATCTTGAGTCTTTGAGCTTAAAATGGAACCTTGGTGCATGCAAAGGTTAAAAGATGATAACTTAATGTTGGGGTTGGTCAAACACACCTAGAAATGCATGTTTAAGTGTCTAAAATCAGTAAAAACCCAACCTTGGAAGGATATCTTCACGAAATGCAGTTTCTGCATTCTGTCGTGAAATATCCGGATATCTGCCCGAGAAATATCCAGATATGTGATATCCGGATATGGGATTTAGATATCCGGATATGGGAATCTGGATATCCAGATATTGTATATCCAGATATGTACAGTGAGATATCCGGATATTGCATATCCGGATATGTCCCGTGGAATATCCGGATATTCTGGGATTTCGAAGAATAGCAGCTGTGCTGTGTGTACAATAGGCTATTGGGGGTTTGTGGACCCTAGTTTGATGAAGTTGAACTTCTGTAATTAATGAACTAAGTCAGAATCAAGTGATTAAGGGCTTATGGCTTGGTATGGAGCCTTAAGACGTAAAACGTAAAGGAAAGGCGTTGTCTTTAAGTTTTATGCTTGTGGTGCATTATTATTGATATAGTATTGGTCCATAACAGATTGTGAATCTGCTGTGTTTGGACTTTGAGTTGTGGACTCTTGGCTTTGGGTGTTAGCTTGCAAGGTAAGCTTTCGTGTCCTCGGTTTAGCCATGTTGTGGTTCCACCATGTCCCATGGGGGTGTGGTTATATGCATGCTGTGTTACATGCTTTGAATATTTGAATGCTGTTGAGCTTTATGTGTGATGGCTTTTAATATGCATGTGTTGTTTCATCTTGACGGTAAGCCTGAGTATGTGGCATCATACGATATGGTGATCCGGGGTGAATGCAAGTGGCGTCTTGCACTATGTGTGGGTATTTGGCGTATATAAATCCTGCATTTCTCTGGCCAGTAGAATAGAATTGACACACATGACATGATTATCTGCTGCATTGCACTGTTTTAGAAATGATATTGATGAGCTGCTTTTAAACTTATATTACACATGTAAGTGAGCTTGGGGTGGAAGATCCTTGAGGACCCCTTGTCTTACTGATATTTCTTGTTTAGAGATCTCACCCCACGTTTGGGGAATGCTTATTTCAGGTTCAGGTAGTATGGTGACTGATGCCTCTGGCGGCAGAAGGCCAGAGCTTAGCTGATTATGATATTATGCTGTATTGCTGCCATGACTGGGTTTGGATGCTGTTTATGTTTTCCGCTATTTATGATTATGTTGTTGTTGAGACTGATGTTGGGCGTGTTGCCTTATTTGAGTGAGCATGGGGATTGTCCATGACACTTTATGTTAGTACTTTTAGATTGGAGTTGTATAAACTGCTAGTTGGTCCGGCCTACTTGTGGTAGTTCCGTGATTTCTAGAGACACACTTTTATTATCTATGTTATAAGGTATTTCAGTTAGCTATTTTATTGCAATTACATACAGGCGATGTTTTATTAATTGATTAATAAGCAAGTTGGTAATGATAATGACATCATAATTGAAAAGAAAAAGATATTCCGCATTTTTAATTAAGCGCTGCTTAATACGATTGTATGATAACATTACTGGATATATACGGGGTGTCACAATCCCCGTGAAAAGAAGTTTGTGGAATCTTACCCTGATGACTTTGAAAATTTGCATGAAAAGAAGTTTACGGGATCATACCCTGGTGTGAGAATTAAAGTTTACCTCCCCATAAACAATGTTAATGATAAAAAGTGAAAATTTTTGGGCTAACCATGATTGATGAAGTTCATTTGTTGATCATTTGACGTAGCTCTTTTTCAGGCCTTCAAGTGAACCAAGTAAGGGGATGTCCCTGCAAGACACTTTGATGTTCCAGTCAGAATTTATTTAAGCAGGTTTAAGTATATTGAGAGAAGATATCACCTTGTATTTAGAACATTGATATTTATAATTGGTAGATGACTAAATTGGGGGATCCCCGTAATTGTTCCTAGCTAGTGGGTGAGGCAACAAAGTACTTTTATTGGTTAAAATTATAGGTGACTTGAGATTGCTTTTATAAAGGAGTTTCATATGAATTAGGGCTAAAGTATCAAAGCAGCGATTGTTGATTTGGGAAGCCTCCTTAGAGACGATTTCTTCATGGTGACGTATGTGAGAGTGAGCTTTTGAATTTGAACTTAATATTCTAGCACATGATAATCTATTTTTCATTTTAGATTCTTTCTCCAATGCAAAATGTGCTTTAAGGTCTTCATGTGGTCAAACTTCTAGCTTATATATAATCGCAAAACTAAAACTTATTATGAATTTGAATTTTGGTACTAGACTGGATGCTAGTGTTAGAATATTTGGTACTAGACTGGATGCTAGTGTTAGAATATTGAAGTCTAAGAAAGTTTCACATTGATTAATTAGCTAAGTGACATTCATATAAATGGAATGACCCATAAAGTCAATGTCTTAAAGTTTTTGGTTAAGACATGATATCAGACCTAATGCTTGAAGTCCCACATTGATTCGTTTAACAATCAAGAAAAAAAAACCCTAGTGAAAATGGTAGTTGTACATACAAATTTTTACACATATATCAAATTTGTTGAGGTGAAAAAATTGTCTGATAATTTTTTTAAGTGTACCTAATGCATGTAAAATCTCTTATTATAGTATAGTACTATAACAAGAGATATTGATTATGTAAATAGTATAGTACACGAGGGAGCTCGAGTTGATTCATTTATAAGAGACAAATATCTAAGGTTAATGAAAATTAATAAATTAGAACAACTTCGTAAATATATTTTTGATAGAGAAAGAAAAAGGATCCAATTCGAGCATGATTTCCAAAAAAAAAAAAATTCAATTTACTTTTTTAAAGAATTGGTAAAATCGATCAAAACTGTATCCGATGGTATCAACCTTCTATTTGTATGATTCTTTGAGAGAATGAAAAAATGGTATATACTACCATTAAATTTGTATGTGAGTTATTAAATATGTATACGTTAATTATATAGATCTTTATTATCTCTCATATTTTTAATATTATAGCTGGTGTAACACACAATTAAAAATATAAAACAAGAAAAATAATCTCTCGCCATACACGGCCTAAGACATACATATAATCAATAGAATCAACGATGCATGCCAATTGTTTCCGGAGAGCAAAATGAATGTTCAATTTCCAGAGAAGAATGTGAATGAGTCGTGTGTAAAAGCAAAAAGGGGATATGGGGATGAAGCTCTGACCTACCAAAAAAAAAATCCACACAAGAGAGACTTATTTCACACATGCTGTAACTGCCAACTCGTGAATTCGCCACCAAAGTAGTATTCATCCATAAATTCAGCCCAAAATTTAAAGACAGAGACCCACCTTGATACAGCATAAGTTGACTACACACCATACAAATTTTATTTTTCTTATATGCCCAATCTTAATACCTCTGCCTTTTGTACTATGGCATCAGGGGGGTGCCCACCGTTTTATCCGCTCCACCGCATTACAGTGGTGCTCCGCCATCTTCGCCAGTCTACATGGCTGACCCACCTCCATCACCACCACCCGCATCACCAGTGCCGCCACCATGTGGACCGCCTCTTTCGCCATATTGATCAGCTCCAAGATTATATTAGCCACAACAGTCTCCTCCCCACCATGCTGAGCCACAATCCTCGTCCTTGTCCGCGTCTCAATCCGAACCACCACCATGAGGACGTCCTTCAACTTCGCCACCAATGCATGGAACTTAGAAGGATCCACCAGCACCAGCTCCGCGAGTCACTCACCAGAATCCGCCGCTGCATAAGGCCGCTCCGACAGTACCTCCTCTTTCATCAACCCAACCAGCTCACACGCTACCACCAAAGCATGAATATCCTCAACATTTTCACAAGCCATCTATAAAACCCACCTTCACCTGTGCATCTCTCCCGCTTAATATTAACACTGCAATCATCATCCCTTCTAGTTTGTGGACAAAATAATTTGTGGGTTTATTGATTTTAATTTATTTTTTACACACAAAAAAGTTTGTGTGTGTGAGATTCATGTGAAAAGGATGTGAAAAGGAGATAGAGAAAAAAAAAAGAAAACATGAACCCACATACTTTTATGTGTATGTAGAAATAAATTTATCTTTTACAACATGAGAGAGAATAAATCCATAATTTGTAGCTCAACACCAACTTGTGTGTGTGTTTTTTTTTTTAAAACACATATATAGCAAGAGAGGCAACTTGTAGAATCAGGCTATTATTTGTATAAGGGTTAGATGTTTATTTCACATTCAACAGAAATAATTTCCAGAAGCAAAATAATCAATTTGCTGTTGATAAAGTATAGTTCTACTAATCATGCAAGTTCAACTACAAGAAAAAAAAAAAACAAAAAAAAAAGTGTGCATGTATTTCACAACCTCCCATCAGAGATCAGACCATCATCCAATGGATTCCAAAGATAGCTCATCATTCTAGCTAATGTTACAAGGCACTTTGTAACATATTGACAATAAACAACCTGGAAAGATTCGAGTTAATCTCATTAATCCGGCCAAACAAATCCGAGTACTTAAACGAGTAATTGTTAGACCAGATGCATTTATTTGTAGCCTATCTTGAAACTTGAAAGCTGCTTCTTCCAACTAGATTTAATGACTACTTTCCAAATGCTTTAGCTTCTTTCATCATTATTGGTCACCAATAAGCCAATTTTACACTATATCTGTCTTCTTGGCAATATCTAATCAACTTTTCATATCAAACCATCATTGTATTGAAATGTGTAGAACCGTCCATCAATTAAACGAACAGGGAAACAATCACTCTTAACCCTTAATCTCAATAGCCAGCTCATATCATAATAATAATAATAATAATAATAATGACGACGACGATAACTGATAAGCATAATGATGGACCTTCAATAATCTGGTTCCATCACATAAAAAAGGCCATTATGTATACAAATAAATTGCATTAAATTAAAAATAATAATAATTTAAAGCTAGAATATAAAAGATAGTAAAAATATACATTTACAGAAAGATGCCCCATAATCATAGAATAGTACCCTGTTAGGCTTCAGCACTACTTTTATAATACAGAACCAAGAACGACATAAGCAAGAAAATATATGAAACTGTTTCTGGACCCTTTGTCAAATTTTCCCACTCGGCTATCTGGAATATCAAAGTGCCCTCCAATGTACATATTGACAGAAAATATCTCGATAATTGCAGAGCTCAGAAAATATAAAGCAGCAGTGACAATTAGGATCTGCAGGACGGTAGAGTGACACCTCCACAACAAACAGCAATTATAAAGTAAAGAAAGACAACAATCAGACATGTCAATAGCGCCCTGGTAAAGACACAAAAACAGACAGTCAGGGCAAGGATAGAAGAAGGACAAAAGCCCAGCCCTCGGAACTTTAAATCCAAACAACTTTTGGTATCCCAAATCTAATATGTATACATTCCAAAATATATGTTCTTTATATTAAGCATATGAAAGAAATTTGACTCACAGGAGTTTAAAATTTTTCATCCAAAGAGCTCTTCGAAGGCCCTTTGACTGTTTCCTAAAGTGAAATGCACTGTCTTGCATTGTTGCTGTCTTATCAACAAGAAGCTCAATCCGGTCACCTCTCTCTAATATTTTCTCAATGTTGTCCACCATGATAGTGCGTATCTGTATGATAGATTGAAAGTTCTAACGTCACCAACTAAGTCAAACTAAATGAAAGGACTTAAATAGCCATAGATGCATGATAACTAAACACCAATAAAGTAAAGAGCATTACAGCATCTATACAACTTGAAATCCAATACAACGCTCTTCAGAAACATGTTTGCAAAGTAATCAATATATAGTGAGTTCTAAGAAGAAAGGTAATAACTTTGCTAGTAAGGATTCTTGGCCATCATCCCTTGGGATGAGCCATACACCTTGTAAAGACATTAGAACATTTCAAGTCAAGAGGTATACCACTTCTGCTTAGCTTACCAATTTCTATCATAGACTATTCCTATATATAATAACTCATATTATGGCTTTCATTTTTGCTGAAAGTAAAAACTGGGGCAAAAACAAACATATTGAAATGATATTATCACATTTGTGTTTTTCTTTGCTCCCACAGACCAGATTGTTTGTTTTGGTATCAACAGAAAAAAAGGGTTGCATATAAAATAAGCCAGAGCACAACTTCACCAATCATATCATGAAACTTGAGTAGCTCACTTTTGTGCTAGATAAATAAACCGGTGAGGATGCATGAGAAAGACAAAATAGAGTGGAACAATGTTTTCTTTGAAGTGCACTTGCCTCACCAACTTCACCCCGTACACGACTGAGGGTATCGACATTAGGATTACTAGAAAAAAATTCCATTTGCTGATGCAAAACCCTTGAAAACTCATCATTCATTGCATAAGCTGGTGCATAATTGGCAACTCTGCCGTAGTTCTTCATGAACCTCATTTGGATATCTTCCAAGTACGAGAAAGGGATTCTCCCTGGATAAAGAGAAAATGGGACATAATAAGCACATGAAAACAGTAACGAAGATTAAAACAGCATAGTAACTGCTTGGATTATGGTTTTGTTAATGATTGCTAGTTATTGCTATTCAGAGATAAATCTACTAATCCCCTACATCATCTCTTGCAGTTAAAGGTTTATATAAAAAATGGGAAGTCAGACAACAGCTTGGACCAGTAAATATTAAATTGACAGAACTACTTCTGGAATGAATATTGAAAATCACTAGCAATGTCTATCTTCTCTGAGATAGTAATATTTGGAGCCTCAAATAAAGTAATAGATCTATCAATTATGAGCTTAAATCCTCCAGCAATAAGGTTTATAAGCATATGATTACTACTTGCTAATATATTATAGGAGTAATTGGCTGATTTAATGGTTCGAACAAATCTGACCTCGTTGAAAGTGAGGAGAATAGCTGAAAATGTGTTTCTAGCTCAAGAGTCAATAAAGCTTCAGAAGAATGTTATAGCAAATCTAATGTAGTTAAAAGGGGCCTAGTTTAGCCCTCCCCCTCCCCACTTCATTTCAGGATAACATTAGCTCTGTATCTTTTATGGATTGACAGGAAGTACATTCATGCAGCAAGCACTGATGGTTGATTTCAACTGTCATTATAAATAGCGTCATCTTAAATATAATTGAGCTTTGCAGATGTGTTTTGCTACTATTTCCACTTGCTAAACAGACCCTAAAAGGATTTCCCAAGAAACACAATCATGAAAACCTTAATTTTCTTAGTGACCTAGGAGTGTCTTTTTAAATACAAATTAGGAAACTTCCAATCAGCAGGAAGCTATAAAATGGGCACACTGTTATACTTAACACAAAGGTAGCCTTTAGTGTTTCAAAATTTTGTAAATAATGATAACACATCTCTAGTGCAGGATAACTAGAATCCATTTATAACTTTTCAAAGCAAAACATCATTTAATATAGTAAAAGACTTGTAAAGAGATGGGGCTTGGCCTCTGTCTGGTTCTGGAAGGCTTGTTGGAATACACTATTTTGTGTGTCACACTACACAGCAACAGGAATTCCTGTAATTTAAGAAGCTAAAGTTGTGCAATCTCAGACATTAAAGAGCTGTGTGGTTTAGTTAAACAATTCTGAAACAATCTTCTTCATCAGTTGCTTAGCCATATAAAACAGTTTAAATCGTGTCAAGGTTTAATAGGATATTGTGCATCATAGCATTTTAATCAAAATAGGGATTGTCTTTTTTGGCAGTCTGGTAAGGCAAAGACTTGGGATCATGTTTTGAAAACTCACATGGTTCCTATAGTTACTGACAGTTCAAAGACTTTGCTCCTGACAGTTTCCTTCTGAAAAAGAGTCTTTCAGAAGCATTGACTGCGTTAGATATCATGCTACTGCCATGCAATATAATCAATCATTTTAAGGATAGAGAAATGAGAATCAATTGCAGGAAATCCCGAAAAATGGAGGAACTCATACTAGCTACCAAAGAGGATGTCAGTCCCCAAAGTTCAATATAAGCTGCAAACGATTCTCAAGAACAACTCTCTGCACTACATTTTGAATCTCCCAGTCAATGAACTGATGCAGAAACGAGCTTGCAGACTTCAATCACGGCTTGTTCAATTTTAGCACACCAATCCTGTTGATATTTATTTATTTTTTACATTTTTCTAATTCATCCAAAGTGAAAACAAAATATGTACACAAAAGCAATCAAATAAAGACATTCCCTATTCTAAAGAACAATTATCTGTAATTAAGATACCAAGGTCAGCCCTATTTCCTTTATGAACAGAGTAATGCTACTTCCACAAACATTTTCTTCACAAACACTATTTTTTTCTTTTTCTTTTAAATTTATCCAATTCATATCCTCGCTTGTGGTTACTTTACCTTTAAACGAAAATTTTTTCTTTACTTTAAGCAGAAGAGTTCGTCCAAGCAACATTACTCATCTCACAAGGAGTTCAAACTAGCATCTAACACACAACTCTGTAGAACCAATGTTTTTTACTGAAAGTGAATCGGATCGCACAACGACGAGATTAAGAAGAAGAAAAAAAAAAGTACGAACGGTGAGAAGAACTGGAACTACTCACTTCCAAAGGCGTCGTTGGCCATACAGAGGTAGGTTACGCCATCGGATCGGAGTATGTGAAAGATATAGCGATCCTGAGAGAAGCAAAGCCTGGAGTCGGACTCCGCCGGAATCTTCTCGAGTATGCGGCGGGCCACGGCGCCTGTGTTGCCGGTGACGGCGCTGAACTCCGCCAGCACCACCGTGCCTCTGGCCACCAAAGCGTAGAGGATCGCCATCCGCGAAGAACTTTCCAGAAGATTACGGAGAAAGTTCTCTGCTGCTCCTCCCTCCTCCTTTTCTAGCTAGATCTTCCGGTTCCCATGGGAACCACAACGATGTTCTTATCAAAGCAAAACGTTGAAATCGCTAGCTATTATTTTATTATTATTATTAGGTGGAAATTATTATTATTATTTTTTATTTTGGTTTGTTAGAGTTTAAAATTTTGAATTGAATTGAATAAACTTACGTGCTGCTGGCTGCTCCTGATTGGTTGGTAACTCAAAATAAGTTACAAATACATAAATTATTATATTTCTAATGTTATCACATAAATATCTTCTTTAGTTCTTTGATGAATTACTTCTAATTTTTAGGTAATATTTTTGAAAAATAATATAGCACAATAATTTGCAAAATAACATCTTACGAAAAGATAAGAATTATGAAAAAATTGCGAAAAAAAATGGCACTGCAAATTTTGCTTTCCTTAGGTTGCTTGGGTACAATTTTAATTTTAATCTCACGAGAAGGCTCATACCAAATGCAAAAATATGTTATGAAAACTTTAATATCCGACTTATGATAAGTATCAAGTTGTTAAATTAAATCACCATATATACTAGGAACAGTCGTGTACATACAAGCAATTAGCAAACTAATTGGGGTTTAAATGAAAAAAAAAAAAAAAAATCAAAGGAGAAAAAGCTACCTTCTTCCTATGATCTTTTACAATTACTTTATTTTGCTATGGTAAATCAATCCTATTCTAAACAAGTATGACGATTATGTTACATATTGGTTGATATATGAGTCATTAATTGCTTGAGGGGTCTTGGTTGAGATCTAAGCATGGCTTTGAGTTAGAGCCATTTGACTTGTTCCCATTCCCATTCCCATGACGGTTCTTGGAGTTGGACCTCGTTATTATGTAAATTTGATTTTGTGCTACTTGACCCTCCAGCTTCTTGAGGATAAGCACTATGGTGGGGTCCTCCTAAGTGTGAATTTTCAGATGAACTTGTTCCATCCACCCTTGCAGGCTGCTGAGCACGTGCAATATCTTGAACCCGCGACTCTACTCTAATTTCCTTCTCTAATGGGCGTCGATCAAATGCTCGAAAGCTTCCAGATATGACATAAACCCGACACAAGCTGAATTCCCGCCTCAACTAAACACCAAAAGATTATCATAATCAGAATTCTTGCAAAACCAAATTGAATCAAGTTTTACAAGTATTTTTACTTCAATAGAACAAACATGTAATTTTATTTTATTTTTTTATATTATTCATCAGTTCATCGATTACCCAACTAATAATCTTCTACGATTTGAGCCCGATAAGAATATACAGTTACAAAATTCTCCTTATCAAATTTTAACACAACACAATTATATTAAATTGGAATAATTTCTTACCAGTTAAACTAGGCTTTTTCACCCTTTTATCCTTCATTAATTAATTAATAATCATTTTGTCCCTGATTTGAAATTATCTATCAATCTGCCCCTCTTTAATCGACTACATTGCATTTTTAATCGATTAAATGGTCAAAACATGCAAAAATGGCTGTTGGGAGATTTAATCGACTAAATCTCCCTATTTAATCGATTAAATCTCCCAACAGGCAACAAAGGGAAACAAGTCAGTATGATTTTTTAATCGATTAAGTAGAGAGATTTAGTCGATTAAATCTCCCAACAATCATTTAATCGATTAAAAATGTAAGTTAATCGATTAAAGAGAGACAGATTGGTGAATAGTTTTGAATCAGAAGCAAAATAATTATTAATTAATTAATTAGAGGCAAAATGGTCAATTAGCCGGTTAAACTAAATATAGGTAAAAAATGTTGAAATACATGATTTTTTTTTATTATATAGCACCTTGTATATATTATAAGGGTTTTATTAATCTCATGTTAAATGAGATAAGTTATCTCATGTTATAGAGATAAATTTATGAGTTCCACAATCTGAAAAAATGAAAAGAAAAGAAAACGATGACACACTTATCGAAGAGTGTGTAGGAGAAAAAGTTATTACATCTAACATAACATTAGTTTTTCTCATATTATAATATACCTGAGGGGTGGCAGTGGTGGATTGGTTAGAAACTTGGATGGCTCTGTATTCATTCATCTTCCATTTGGTTTTTCTTCCGGTAGGAGCTTTCCCTTTGTAGAATACCATGGTTTTCTTCAACCCAATTACTTTGTTGTCAGAAGAGTAAACATAGCCAGGAGAACCTGTGGCCTTCCAATACCCACAAGCTGTGGTTCTGTTGGGTCTGCCTCCCTTGGCTTCCCTCTCTTGAGCGGGTGAAAAGAAAAACCATTGCTCTGTGTCCCCACGACACAGTTCCCCAGCTAGTGCTACAAGAATATCAAATCATTTTAGCAAACTCATCCTGTGTTGAAAAATACAAGGGAAAAAGCATGTCTCATATTTTTTTTTAATATAAGTGGTAATCGAACAGATAATATAATACAACATACTCAAATCCCTCGCCGGTATACCAATCCTAACTACTTAACAAGTCCCATTTTAAAACACATAATTTGGAGCATTTTAATATTCTCTCTCATAATATATTATCCTACTAAGTTGTGTCTTTTAAAATTATAACAGCTTTTTTTGCAAAACAATGATCAAAACATGAATGAAACTACAGAACTTTCTAGCTGAGAATAATGAAGAGTAAGGGAGTTTGAGAGTTTGTGTATTTTACTTGGAAGGTTCCACGGCTCTACACCATTGATGTCAATAACTGGGATAACTCTGTCTATGGCGTTTCTTTGGGCTTGTAGCTTGTTGTTTAAGTAGAAGCCAACTAGCTCTTCTTCTGTAGGGAAGAAGCGAAAACCAGGTGGGAGATCTTCCATTGATTCTGTAGCTTACTTGTATTTGATTATGGGTCTATGTTACCGTTTAAAATTTTTGGAATGAGCTGAATATATATACACGTATGTGCACAAGGCTCCAAAAACTAAAGTGTGTGGGTGGGGCAGAGATATTCACCGTGTTAAGTTAGAAATTTTGCATTGTTTGGGATTTGGGTGGAAACTTCCACGCGGTTGCAATAGCAAGAAAACGTCTTTGCAAACCATTTAGGAGGGTACCTCATGATGGCTACATTCCTAGAACCAATGAAACGCCCTTTTGAATCAGTCATCCTCTCCAAGGACCGAAAAGACGAAAAAAAAAAAAAAAAAAAAAAATCCTCACTGTCTCTATCAATTGGTGATATATGTAATCATTTTATCAAGTAAGTCATCTGGTTTTTTGTGTCAACTATCCTAATTACTTATGCTTAATTAAGACCAATTTTCTAGTGGTATTTCTCAATGTTGTCAATCTGGCTCTCATTTGGGTTATCTACTAGGCAAGAGAATCTTACTAGTGGAATAAGTCAGATATGTTTTGCTTTGAGGATTCCAAATCATATTTCATTAGAATTTCGAGTGAACACAATATAAGGCATTCTTGAACTCTTATTTTAATAATTTGATAATGATTTAATTAAAATAACAGGAAAAACAAATGCAGTTATATTTTTAACAGTAGAAATATAAAACAAGATAGTAACTCCAATATTAGGTTTGGCAATGCACTGGTTTATCATTCAACTTGATCCCTCCATATTTTCTAAATTAGCACCATACCTCCACTACTCATCCAAGACGCTTTTAAAGAATGTATTATATTTTTGGGAAAAGTTTAATTTTTTTCATATAATTTAGTTTTGGAATCACTTACTCTCTCTATATATTTTTTATTCAAATTCATTTTTAACGCTGTTAAAATTTTTATTAATCTGCAAATTTTATCCTTCTTAGTAGAAGAAAATAGATTGATGACAAAAAAGGAAAAAAGAAAAAGAAAAAATAAGGACAAAATTTGTTAGAAACTTATAACACTTACTGAAAAAATTAAAAGTAAAAAAAAAATTAAAAAGAGAGGAAAAAAATTCAAATATGTCTAAATCAAAAATAAGGAAATAAATTGATGACAAAAAATAGAAGAAAAATAAGATTAAATGTATTAAAAACTTACAAAAATAACATAAAAAATTAATAGTAAAAAAAATGAAAATAGTCTATATCAAAAAGAAAAAAATAAACAGAAGAAAAAAGTGTAACACCCCGTAGCGCTCCGGTTGTTAACATACATGGTATTTAGAATACACAGCGGAAGACTTTATTTTATTAAATATAAAATCATCTCTTAAAAATATGAGTTAACTTTTTCCAATACGTTTTCTAAAAACATTTCCAAAATCGTTCACATGAAAAATTGCGTAAGCGTAAATCTAAAACATACAACTACTAACTAATCCCATTAGCCATTTTTAGTGGCCATTGATTAACCGGATATGACAACAAGTGTCATTCCTGCCAGAGTCTCACGGACAGCATAACGGCTGTTTAACGGAAAACTGGGAGATAAAAATCTCACTCCATAATACAATCCTGATAGACACAAAATCATATCCTGTTATCATTGCATATGGTATTAAGCGCAGTTATAATCACAGTAATTGAGTTAATTAAATTACGGATAATTTTTTTCTTTTATTATGTCCTTATCTTTAAACATTAATCATTTCCGTAATCAATTAAAAACAACACCGTAATTGTAAATGCAAAACTCGCGGAAGCATAAAACTTATCCTTACAACCCTTTCAAGCAATACCATTAACTCATGGTTATAAAATCACTTATTTTCAAATTTGCACAGTGATAATCGATTACCATTCTTTAGGTAATCGATTACCAAGAGCTACAGTAACAGACAATAGCTAATTTTGGGCTCCCCTGTTTTTGGTAGTCGATTACCTTTCATAGGTAATCGATTATTGAACTAGGTAATCGATTACCTATGCAAAAGTAATAGATTACTTTGATAACAATGACTCAATTTTTGCGTCCCCTGTTTCAGGTAATCAATTACCACCTGAAGGTAATCGATTACCTTACTGTAAAATTCACAGATGACAGCTTTTTCACTTGAAAATAAACAAAGTATTCTACTCCTAACACTTTAATACTAATTATACAACTAGTACCATTACTAATGTAGGTTCTAGGCCCTTCCATCATGCATAATTCTTTGTCTAAGGTATCAATTACAATATTCCTCCATTCCTTGCCATTTACACATCATATGGCTAATTTACATCAAACATTCCCAAATGCCTCAAAACATAATGTGTGGCCATGGACAAGTCTCATGCTCACCAAAATCTCAATATATGAACAATAGACATTAAATATCCGTCAATTACAAAAGACTTAGAATATAGTCATGAACACCCAAAAGCATGGCAGTATCAACATGCAATATGTTCATAACCTAAGTCCAAAATGCTAGACACTATGCTATGTGCATCAAATGTAATCCTCCAAAATGCTATGCTCTCCATATGCACACCATGATCAACTCCTCCACTAAGCAGGCCTCTTGCTCAAAGATTCTCCATGCTCACTATAACCTGAAATGATGTCCCTAAACGCGGGGTGAGATATACAAATATATCTCAGTAAACCAAGGGTACTAGAGGATCACTCCACCCCATGGCTTACTCAATGTGCATACAATGATCATCATATAAAATGCATAACACACAAAATCATATCACACTGGGCTCACATCCAAGAACATCCACACAAGGATTCTGTTCAAGGACCCCATCATATAACTCTCGGAAAGCTTCCTGGTACCTCTCCCATAGATGAGACGACCTCATGGCAAAACCCAACTGGAACTCCTCAAGAGACCTATCCAGTGGAAGTCTCACGTTTGGATCATCATAGTACCGCTCCTAGAGTCAGCCCCACGGCAAAACCAGACCGGAATCCCCCAAAGGGATATCTCCAGCGGAAGTCCAAACCAGAGATCACAGATATGTCACACAACATTCTCCAAGCATGTGACACAAAACAATAATGCATGAACATGCCATTTCATACAAAGTCAAAGAGCACAAAATCCAACCACCACCTTCCACTAGGTGTGACGAAACACACAAGCGGATAAAACCCTAGTACCAAGAGTGTACATCAACTCCACAAGTAATGCTCTTCCACGTAAGCTCCAAGTTTATTCCACTTCTATTGGTTCCGTGAGAGGGAACCTATAACGATCAAAGAACAATGATCAACAACCAATTGCAAGAAATCAATCAATTTCACAATAATATTACCCAAACCTAAACACTTAGGCCTAATGATTATCTTGCATTCATTTCAACTAGCTCAATCATTTTGATCCTTGAACTAACTCACCATTTAACCATTCATACACCAAGGCACCAACCATTGATTTTACAATATTTTTCACATCATTTTCCTCCAAATTCCCTATAGGTCGAATTCGTCAAGTAAGTATCCTCTAAGGTTTTTAGTTCAATTCAACACTTACTCTCTTCACATAATCCTATAATTACTTCATACCAATGTTCCACAACTCAACTACACCATCACACAACCTGTCAATTCCACAAAGTATTGAAATTCCAACACTTTCCAATCATCAATTTTACTAAGTTACAAATTTGCAAATCACCATAATTTTTATTGCATCAATCATCATCATTTATTATTCTAAGCATTTAATTCCAAAGGAGTCATACCATTTAATGTTCCTAACTATCACAACTCATCACACATAATCAAAACCTTCATTTATTTTATGATTTCATTGAAAACTCAAAGAGAGTGTAGAAACTTACCACCAATAGCTTTCTAGGGTCCAAGGTGATGATCTCCAACCAATGTATCAAACCAAGAAAACACCAAAATCCCCCCCAAAATCCACGATTTTTGTGGCTGAAAATGGAGGGATTCTCCTCACATAATGATCCCCACAAGGTGCACTCTACATGAAAGTCACTCACAAGATCAAGGGGAACAACTTTGTAGTAAAGAGTTTCTCAAAAATGGCTCTAACTCAAGGTTTTAATTTGAAAAGCTCACTTGCCCTATCAATGGTGGAGAGCACGACGTGAGAGAGAAGAAGAGAGGAGAGAGAATATGATTTTGTGATTAAATGGGCCATTCATTCACTTAAATCATTTATGTGGATCTCACATGTCACTTAACTTTCTTAAATCATCTATTTTAAACCACAAATTTATAACCTACACATTTTTCTCGTTCACGCCATATTTTTACTTCCTAAAAATATTGATCATATTTTCGCACTTATCTGTAAAATTATACCGCAGTATTTTACACCGATAAAATCACTATTCATCAATTTTTCAGAAACTTGCCTATCTACTCAATTTTTCATTCTGAATCCATTTCTAGTGTCCATTTTTCCATTTGAGACCTTATACTCAATTTTTCTCTCCTAATATTACGTGTTTGGCAAATTATCATTTTATCTTTCTTATGCAATTTGACCCTAATTACAGGATTTTCACTAATCCTACCTTTTAAACCATATTTTCGTATATAATAATACGTTTACAAAATACGAGGTGTTATAGATAGCTCACAAGTCCCACACAGACTATGATTCCCTCAATCGGTCAGTACATACATATTGGCTCCGTGCCCAAATTAATAAATCCATACATCATGTCTATGTGTCCTAATCACATGCATCTAACATAACTTGTAAGAACCCGCACCGCTAATTAAGGAAATTAATTAGATAATTATGTGATAATTTCATAATTGACCCTAATAATTATTATGAGGCTTTTATAATTATAGTAAGTGAGTATGTTGAAAGTCACTTTTCTGACAAAAAGCGCAGATACCGATTCTGCTAGTCGGTATAAATGCGTACCGATAAAGTATCTCGGAAAATTATAATAAGTGCATGAATATTCCTAGAATAATATGTAGGACTGTGAAAACGAGTTTCAAGTTAAAATATTGAGAACTGGTATTA